TTGTAAGATGCTATTTTACTTTTTATATTTTATATCCATATTTTTATCTTAAGTGTATATATTATTCTATTTTATTGCATGCCGTATACCCACAGTTTTTAGATATTTTTATAATTTTATTTACCTATTCCATATTATATGTTTCATGTTGCACGATTGTACCACAAAAAATTCCTAGTTTGTGAACTCCTTCACTAACAATGGCAATAAACCTGATTCTGAAAGTTTTACACTGTAGCCCAAGTCAATGACAGATAACGTGAGGACGACCATAAAGGCTACAAATAATTTCGGTAGAGTTTGCAATTGCAAATCTATGTGTTAAGACAAACGTTTTCTGTTGTATAGGTTTTGTTAGGCAACATAAATCAACACATTTTGGTCTCTTTATTGTCTTAATTGTATATTGATTTAGTAATTGCGGCACAATGCCAAGAAAGGAGGGTTAATCGTATTGAAAAATCTTAAAAGCTGTTTACATTTTACTTTTAAGTGGTTTGTACAAAATCAGCAGGTATTAAAATAGCTATTATTTTGTAGGCTACCATAAGTCATATCCACGTGACAAGACTTCCAGTCATGTTGCCCTAATAGCCCATTATTTAAACTAATGTGGCATATTTGTTAAAGCTATTATTATTATTATTATTATTATTATTATTATTATTATTATTATTATTATTATTATTATTGTCATGATGGTTATTATTATTATATTGTAGCCAGTCACAGCAGGGAAGCTCTATACTATCAACATCTACCAGGACAGGGGATGAGGAAGAGTTCAGGGAAGACACAGAGACAGAAAAAGACCAGGATGAGGGAGAACAGATGGATGAGGGAGAGCAGATGGGTGAGGGAAAACACGGAGATGAGCCAGATTAAAGAAGAAGAAAGATGAGCAAGCTTACTACTTTAAAGTAGTACGCTTTAGTCTGTTCTTTTGGTGGTGTGACTTTTTTCCATTGAAAACTGACGTTTAGAGAATGTTACAAATAAAAGTCAAATTTCAATCAACATGCGTGTATTTTTTTTATAATTAAGTGTTACACGTGCGCTAAAAAGTGCCCTCCTCCCCCTCCTGAGCACCTGCCCCCCAAAATGTCTGTGCACGCCTCTGGTCCTCTTAATTGTCAATCATTTGGGTGATATTAGGCCGTCCTACGTGTTCGTCCCCATTTTCACTTACCAGTAGTGAGTCTGACATAGTTGAAAATTTGCAAATCTTCTTTTGGAAATTAAGCTTGAGCTATGAGTGATGCTAAAGGCAACTTTCAATCAGAGCGTGCAATCAGGAGAAATTGGCTCGTGCATGGTCTCGCACGCCATCAACTGGCGTTTCCTCTCAGGAGCCGGTAGAGGGTTGTGCATGTGCATTTCTGTGCACATCCACAAAAATGCATGTGCACAAGTGGAGAGGGCGAGTGGAGAGGGCGGGTCTTTTCAAAATTTTGCAAGAATCCTCCACTTTACCTTTAAGCTGAAAATAGTAGAAATTCCAAAAACCAAAGCTTTAAAAAGAGCCTCTCTTTATAAGTCTTGTCCTAAGGGTAACGTTTTGCTTCATTTTGAGTAAATTCAACACAGCATTTCAGAAAGAGAAAACAATAGTGACTCTCATGCATGGCAGTGGTAGTACGATGGTTTGGGGTTCCCTCTGCGGTTTCAGATCCTGGACAAATAGGTGTAATTAAAGTAGCCATTGCTTTTATTCTCTAGCAAACCAAGTTTAAACTTTTTTATATTTTGCTTGTTGACAAACTCACATTTCAGTGAACTTTATTGGATTGTATGAGACAGGCTATCAAGAAGTGATAGATTTGGAAAAGCAGAAGAAAAAATATACATGGCTTTCAAAGTCGATGAATAAAAATCATCATAGTTTGGGGTGCAGTCTTTCTCTTTTTTTGTGAGAGTAAACCTGTGCTCACGTAGAGGTTTTCTTTTTGAATCTTCCTGAATTTGGCTTCATCCATCTTCCCATCAGCTCCAAGCATCCTCCAGGCTGAAGAAACCCAATAATGCTGCTACCACCTGGTTTCCCATTTGTCTTGGTGCCTTGAGGAAGAAGTGCAGTGCTAATTTTCCAATATGTTGGTCAAACTGTTTCATTATTTCTCATCTAACCAGGGTCACATTTCCAAATGTTTCCTGATTCCTATTCCTTCACTTTAAGAGCTCTCTAAAGGCCTAAGGTGCTCTGTGAATAATCTTCATTTTATCCAAGAAAAAAGAAAAAAATAACTGATTACAGATTAAAAACCTCAGAATAGCTTCTGTAGCTACATTTAATATTAGGATTGTTTGTGGATATGGGTCTAGATCAGGTCTAGCAAACCCTATGGGATGTAAAAAATGGACTTATGTAATCTTTCGTTAAGAGAATCGTCAATCTAATAGCAAATTATTCTGTCAGCCTGAGTGGTTTGTCTCTGCAGTTCCTCCAGAGTTACCTCCATCCATCCATCCATCCATCTTCCTCCGCTTATCCGGGGTCGGGTCGAGGGGGCAGCAGCTTAAGAAGGGAGGCCCAGACTTCCCTCTCCCCAGCCACTTCTTCCAGCTCTTCAGGAGGAACCCCAAGGCGTTCCCAGGCCAGCCGAGAAACATAGTCTCTCCAGCGTGTCCTGGGTCTTCCCCGGGGCCTCCCCCCTGTGGGACGTGCCCAGAACACCTCACCAGGGAGGCGTCCAGGAGGCATCCTAAACAGATGCCCAAGCCACCTCAACTGGCTCCTCTCGACGTGGAGGAGCAGCGGCTCTACTCCGAGTCCCTCCCGGATGACCGAGCTTCTCACCCTCTCTAAGGGAGAGCCCAGCCACCCTACGGAGGAAACCCATTTTGGCCGCTTGTATCCGCGATCTCGTTCTTTCGGTCATGACCCAGAGTTCATGACCATAGATGAGGGTAGGAACGTAGATCGACCGGTAAATCGAGAGCTACGCTTTTTGACTCAGCTCTCTCTTCACCACGACGGACCGGTGCCGCGCCTGCTTCACGGCAGATGCTGCACCAATCCGCCAGAGTTACCTGCTTCATTGATTAATACTCTGACTGAAGGCTGTCAGTCAGTGGGTGAATATTTATTTGAAAGGTTTTACTTCGTTAAACAATTGATTTATTTGGTCCTTCGATGCTGTTTTTCTCTGCAAACTTCTGAGGTCTCTACTGAGAATCTTTATTTATGCTGAGCTGAAACTGTGTGTTCTCTTAAGATTTTTTTTTTTTACTGAATTACAGTTATGGATATCAGAGTAAAAAAGGTTAAAGTATGCAACACTTTCATAATTTTTTGATTAAAAGAAACTGGAAGTCAGGATATGAATACTTTAGTGAAGCTCTGCAAACCAAATTCTCTCCAGAGGAGCTCAAACTAAGAGATAATGTTATTCTTTCTGTTTGGTGTGATTTTATTGACCTGCTGGGAACACAACATGGCTTTATGAGTTTATCACTCAGTACAAATTTCTGGTAATCAGTGTTGACTCCTCTCTCTCTTATTTCCTACTGGAGAAAAGTTTATTAGGATCCAAAGGGCACGTTTATGGAGCACCAGGAAGAGTCACTGAAAAAGAAAAACAGCCATTTCAGATTTAACATTCAAATCATATAATTAGCACATTTTAGATTGAATTATTAAAGAGGAATTGTAAATAAAATTCTTAAAATCCATTTTAAATACTGCAATTTAAAAATATATTTTAAAATCATATTTTAAATGAATATTTATAATTTATAAATCTGAATATAAATCTTTTTTACGCATTTAAAACACATTTTCATATTATTTACCTTCTATATTTACAGCTGAGGAGAAAGATCTTGTTTCACTGGTCTTCAGTGTTCTCAGGGAATGGTAGGGTCACGGAAAGGGAGAGGATGAAATAGAAATAAAATGAAATTGCAAAAAAGATTTGAAAATGCAAGGTGAAAAAGAAAATGGAAATGTAATAAGGAATGGCCTTTTTAAATGCCTGATTAGGAAAGGTATTTATAATCAGCTTTGGGAATTGTGTTTTTTTTTAGATATCATTTTAGAAATATGAATTGAGAACAGTGGTGTGAAAATACACACATTTGTTACTTAAGTAGAAGTATAGATACTGCAGTTTAAAAAAAGCTGAAGTAGAAAGTGAGAGAAAGTATGTGCTCCAAAAACTACTTAAAGTATAAAATTATAAAATAACCTTAAAAAAAAACAGCCAGATGCCACTATATGATTCAAAGCTCAATTGTTTGACTTTTTGACTAAAAATTCTTAGAGATAGGGCCAAGGATGAGGGAGGTCTTGTTGGTCTCCGTCTCGCGATACGCTCTCACCTGTGTCCGACCTTTCAGACATTTCAACATCTTTTTCTGAATCCTACATTGTAGCATGGCATAGACAATTCACGTTAGCAGTTTGAAGAACACCTGCTTGCTTCTGATGATTTCCTTTAGCTAACCAATGAGTGTTTGCGTTCTATGACTCATCCAATGACACTAGTTTTCACTAGATGTGGGCGGAGCCAATGATCTGCATTGGATGGAGCGCATGACAGGAAATAAATATTTAGAAACGTTAAACCGAAGCCAAGAGGAACGAGTAACGTTTGTTTTAAAAATGTAAGGAATAGAAAGTACAGATACTTGTGTGAAAATGTAATGAATAGAAGTCAGAAGAAAAATAAGTAATGGAGTAAAGTATAGATAACTAAAAAGTGTACTTAAATACAGTAACGAAGTATTTGTACTTTGTTATTTGACACCTCTGAGAATAGGCTACATTTTAAAATGACAGCAGTTTAGATTAAATCAATGATTAAATCTACAACTCCTATTTAATAATTCAGCTCATAATGTGCTGTTAGAAAACGCTTTTCAAATTGGATTTTTTAATTGTATGGCTTAAAAATGTTCAATGTTTTGACTCATTTGGCGCTCCATACTTTTCCACCTGTTTGACTGTAGCTCCTCCCCTAAATGGGCGGTCCTCTACCCGGAACCTCCTTCTCTCATAATCGCACTTTTTTCACCCCTTTTACCCAAGATTCCTTCCGTCTCAGGTCTTCCGGGTTCAATCGGAAACTCAGAAAGATTTGAATGAGTTAATCTGACCGACTAGAAGTAATTTGAAGAGTTTTTGTTGGACTCTATGTTTCCACGTAAATCTGCCACTTCTGTCAGTCTGCCAACGGTAAGCTAACCTAACTCTGTCCTCCACCCGCCCTGATCCTCTCACCTGTAAAAAACTTCCAGCTCAGCTGCTTTAGCCTCAGGTGGGATCAAATCTAGACATCAGGTTCACTTCTTTAGGTTTAAATTGAAGCTGTTCAGGTGCCACCAGGACGGTTAATGCTTTACTGGTTCTGCTTTCTTGTTGTTATTTTGGTTGTTTTTTTTATGACAGTCAGCGTTTGTTCAGCCATGGAGGACCCAAAAATACCGCAGAGGAAACTGTCCAGGGCCGGAGAAAGTTTATACCAAGTCCTGGGCTTACAGAAAGGAGCCACCCCCGATGAGATCAAACGGGCCTACAGGTGAGGCTGACTTTATGACTCAGTAGTTATAAATGTTTGACTAGATATGATGTGGCTGGCTGGATTTTTTTCAATCCAAGACAGCCGTGATCGGAGCTTAATCTGGAAACATAATTCCTTAAGTACTGTGGTGGCAGGACAGTTTTAAAGTCGTAGGAAAATCATATTTAAATGTCAAATCATTCTGGCTTAAACATGTATATAGATGGACTCTTTATCAGACTATATTGTCCCAAAATGTAGAAAATTTCTATTAAAAAAAAAAAGTCTTTTTTTTCGTCGTTTTTTCTCTCTCTTGTTTTTTTATGCAGGCCAGTTAGTTATATGTCACTCTGAACACCTAAATTAAGTCAATCATATTTCAACGGTCATCTGTCAACAGAGGTGTCAAGTAACAAAGTACAAATACTCTGTTACTGTACTTCAGTACACTTTTTAGTTATCTATACTTTACTCCATTACTTATTTTTCTTCTGACTTCTATTCATTACATTTTCACACAAGTATCTGTACTTTCTATTCCTTACATTTTTAAAACAATCGTTACTCGTTCCTCTTGGCTTCGGTTTAATGTTTCTAAATATTTATTTCCTGTCATGTGCTCCATCCAATGCAGATCATTGGCTCCATCCACATCTAGTGAAAACTAGTGTCATTGGATGAGTCATAGAACGCAAACACTCATTGGTTAGCTAAAGGAAATCATCAGCAGCAAGCAGGTGTTCTTCAAACTGCTAACGTGAATTGTCTATGCCATGCTACAATGTGGGATTCAGAACAAGATGTTGAAATGTCTGAAAGGTCGGACACAGGCGAGAGCGTATCAGGAGACCAACAAGACCTCCCTCATCCTTGGCCCTATCTCAGAGAATATTTAGAAATAGTCGAAAAGTTTACCTTTAAATCATATAGTGCCATCCGGCTGTTTTTTTTTAAAAGGTTACTTTATACTTTTATACTTTAAGTAGTTTTTGGAGCACATACTTTTTCACTTTTACTTGAGTAAAGAGGTCAAGTTGATACTTCAACTTTTACCAGAGTGTTTTTAAACTGCAGTATCTATACTTCTACCTAAAGGGGAAAGCAGTTTTTTTTTTTTTTACATTGGCCCCTTGATTTTACGTTATTCCATCATGTTCTACTCACCCATATGAGTTTTGTGTCATTTGGAGCCGTTCTGAAGATATTCCGTTAGGTTATATCCAAGTAATGTCTTCCTATGGGCAACGACTTGAAGGCACAAACTAAACTGTTCATCATTTATTCTTTATGGTACGCCAGCATTCAGAACATGTAGGACAATCACTGTCCCCCAGACATCTGTGGTTATATTTTTTATATTTATATTTTTTTAAAGAAAAAGCGGCCTGTGTATGACGTCATCCATGCGCGCCGGCCACCATTCATTCATCCTGTCTGCTGAAGTGCTGCTAGTTTTCCTCACATGCCTGGAAGACGTCTAGTGCTGCTACCACAGATGATCTCGCTCCCCAAATGGAATTGAACGATTCAGATTAGCTAGAATGAATAGAAGGGGTAGAGCGTAGCCGCCTGTGGCCCGGGCTGCCTGTCACTACTCCAGTCCGGCACGCGGATGATGTCATACACACTCCGCTTTTTTTATAAAATAACAATTTTTCGATTTTTCCGTTTTGGAACGGACTTTAGACTTAAACACTTCCAGGATTTTGCTTTGAGGATATGGAACTCCTGTGTGGACATTATTATTAAAAATAAAAACAACGGACAGTTTTGGACTTTCAGTTATTAGGGTTGTTTTGTTTTGTTTTCTGCAGATATAAATTGAGACTTTGAGTTTACTTATAAATTGGTTGTGAAGGTTTTTTGGGTTATTGATCTATTTTTACTGAATTATTATTGAATGAAACTTTGGATTAGTGATGCACGATATTGGGATTTTGGCCGATATTTTAAAACTCATGTAGCCGATAACCGATATCGATACCGATGTTAAAGCTTGACAAAAATAAGTAGTCATTGAAATTAGCAGTTCTGTTATCCATTTCTGACACTTTGAAAATTTATATACTCAAATATATTTTCATATGCTGATATCAAATTGATTTTTAAAAACGCGGTATCGATCTATTTTACTTTCAAAATCTCGTGAAATTTCATCGTTCTGTTACAAACTCTCGTGATATTTTGCAAATTCTTGTGAGATTTTGTTAGTAAAATAGATCGATACCGCGTCGATATATCAACATATAAAAATATGGCAACATTTGGTGAATTTTCGGGGGATTTCGTAGCATAACGATGACATATAGCAATATTTCATTAGTAAAAGAGATTGATATGGTGTTTTTAAATGGCAATATATCAGCATATGAAGATATTGGGATATTTTAATGTATCAATATTTTTCCCTCGTCTTTAGAAGTTTTTAAGTCTGTAATAAAGAAGTTTTTGAGGAAGAAGTAGTATTTTTATTTTTTTTAGACTTTAGAAACTCAGAAGCTGATCAAATATCGGGTTAAATATCGGTGGGGTGGCCGATGTCCGATATTAAATTTTATGGCCGATACCGATAGGGGGCCGATTATTTCGTGCATCCCTACTTTGGATTCTTGGTAGTATTGCGATTTCTTTTTTTTTTTAATTAAATCTTTATTTCTAAAAATCAACATAATCTTACTAAGGTGTTGGATATTTTTTCTTTCGTCTCAAATTTATAATATAACATATTTTGCCTGTTTTCCTGTGACAGAATCCCCCTTGAGTATTTGTGAGTTCTGCTTTTAATAAAGCTAAATTTTACAAGCTGTACTACATAAAAGACAAAAAAACTATAACTGAAAATTAATTAGTTAAAAACTAATCTAAAACTAAGCCTTTTCAAAAATAAAAACTAAACTAGCTAACAAATACTATAAGTGAACTTGAATCAAAATAAAAAAAAAAAAATCAGAGGTCAACACCTGATGTAAATAAAAACTAAGGAGAGTTTCAAAACAATTTTTACCTTGGTTGTATTTGGAAATTTGAGCGAGCACACAAACAATTTGAGTTTTACAAAATGTTCAGATTTTTTATTTTTTTTTTAAGCTTAAGTCCCCAAATTACAGCGTTTCTGCAAGGAAAACAAAGTCAGACTTCTCAAGGCCACAATAAAAAGGTTTTCAGAGACTTTGTCATTAGCTTAAAAGATTACCGCCCAGTGCAAATTAGCAAATTAGTTACCATTTGCATGTTTCCAAGCGATACAAGGCTTTGGACTCAAACTCACTGCGGATCCATACATTTAAATTGAGAAAGCTTCCTGGAGAGGTGGAGAAACGTCTTTTAATCTTGGAAACCAAGTCCAGTGGATATTTTTTTGAATTTTCACGGAATAGCTGCTAAAAGAGCGACTTCTTTTTAACTTTAGGGTAGAATCATTGAGCTCCGCCTCAGATCCTCCCTGATCAGAGAAAGTGGGCATTTGTTCAGCAGAGTCGCAGTAGGGGCTTCCTGGTGGGGGCTACATACAACTGTATAGCTTTGATAAAGAAATAGCATTTTAGCATAGTTAAAAGTAAAAAAACAAAAAGAATTTAGGATGATAAAGTTCCCTAACAGATCAAAAAAGACATTTCATTAGTTTTTTTTTTATCATAACTAAACTAATTTATTGTTTAGAATCATCAGGATGAATAGAAATGTATCATGATAGATAAACTAGGGCTGTGTTCAAATTTATGGACTGCGTCTTCCAAGGACGAGCTCCTTGAAAATAAGGAGAGTTTTGGCTGTGAATTCAAACAGGTCTACCCTTCTGCGGCTTTCTCCGCTGTCGACCCTCACGCTTAGCAACCGTGAGAGTTGATACGCAAAACAGGAAAGGAATGAATACTGAACTTTTTAAAACAGTTTATTTCTTAATTTATTTTCTTTTTTTTATTGTAAAGTGAGAAAACACTTGTGTCAGGGTTTGGTTGAGGTTTGAGGACCAGCATTGAGATCCAGCAACGACAAGGAACCAACCAAGAGTGACACCAGAGGGTACAAATAGCTGACTGAGACAAAGGCAGGTTAACGAGCGGATAAGGAGCAGGTGTGAGAGGAGATAACGAGGAAGCCAAGGGGAAAGGAACACACACAAGAGCGCAGAAGAGGACGATAGAAAAACCTGAGAACATAAATCTAGAAACTACAACAAAATAGGTGTTAAACCAATAAAACTAGAAAACAAGGAGCAAAGTAAAGCACAACAGAACCAAGACCATGACATGTGAATCCAGAGTGGAATAAAGGTCCCAACCACCAGGTTCATGAATAAATAAAATCAAATGTAATGATATAAACCTTATTCTGTTTAATAACCTGCTGCTGTCATTCTGCACATCTCTGATGTTGCTGCTATTTTCAAATATCCATTACTGTAAAAATGTCCATAGCTGCATATTGGTTATTTATTCTCCAGGTGCAGTTTTACATTGTTAAAACACTTTACAGTATTTTATTGTTTATGTCGTAACTCTACACTATTATGTCATTCTTATACATTTTTCTAAATTCTAAATTTGTGTGACCATTTTTTTCAATAATCTTTTTGCTGCTGCAAATTTCTCAATTGTGGGACAATAAAGGGATTTTCTATTCTGTTCTATAAAAGGGGAAGAAAGATAGAAGTAAATCTAAACAATGTATATATAAAAAATGTATCCGCAAAATCTCTAATATTCAACAAAAAATACTTAGTTAAGCATATTGTGCAAAATAGCAATAAAAAGATGAAAACCCTATCAGATTTATAGTCCCCACACTAAAGATATATTAGAATCTGTCCTTAAATTACAGCCAAACTCATTTACACAGTAACAGATAAAAACCTTTAGATAAATCAAACATTACCGCCACATATCTGACTCAATAATCTTTAAAATCCTTCAAATCCGGCAAAAAGAAGGACGTATTTTTAGGCCAAATAACGAGGAGTCTTGATCTCTGACCAGACCTCAGCGCCGCGCTGTAACGTAATCGGCCTTCGAATCCGGCGTTCGGAGGACACATGCCCATGAATTTGAACAGAGCCTAGATGACAAATGCCCACCCTTAGCCAATACAAACACAAACGCATCTAAGGTCTGCACATAATATCGGCCGGCCAATGAATTGGTTCGTCTCTTAATTGTTGATTGATGGAACCAGTCATATTATGACCACATCAAAACAGACCAGGGAAGGCAAGAATAAAGATGAAATGGGTTTAATAGATCAGTAAAATGCTGCTACTGTAGGAAGAACCAGGAAAAGGACCTAAAATTCGGACCAAAATGCGACATGATGGTTCAGATTCCTTTTTTTAGTTTTTTAGGTGAAAAGATCAGAATCGGGATGCATATCTAAAAAGTCAGATTATGGGTCATGAGCAAAACAGTCAAAAAGCAGAGAAAAACAGGGGCTGGCTTCTGTCGTTTATTTCCAACCCAAGTTGAATTACTAAAGTTAATACTAAATACTGGTAGCCTGTGAGTATGTTAAAATATAAATCATAATATCTGATATAATTTTGACAACCAAAATTTCAAATTTAATGAATTAGAAACTCAATTATTATCAATCAAAACAGTATTTAGGTCTGAAAGACAGAATATTTTCAGACCTTTAGTTTAGATTAGTGTAATGATTTGTTATTACATAGTTTTTTTAACAGAATACTACCACAAACTAAAAATAAAACATTATCAGTATGTTTTATACTCTTTATTCAAAAATGAACTTAGTTAAGTTAAACAAATAAGCCCCATTTGACCACATCTTGTGAGGTTATTTAGAGGAATGTATAATTGATAGACATTGGTCATTCCAGAGTTGCTTTTATTTCACTTATATTTAAATACAAGGTCCAAATGAAGGAACTGAGGTGATAGTTGGACCCCACTGATGTTATACAGGCAGTCCACCTCCACCAGGGTGGTCCACAAAATGAACTCCAGCATTAGAAGCAGCTGGTGGCCTGAGTTTAGCCTGAATTCACTGCCTGGCGCTTGACTGGCTTACCAGAGAACTCCTAAACTGGCATCTTCAGCGCCAGCATCCTATGTCCTGAGTAATATGTTGAGTTGCTTCAGTCATTAAAGTATTTTAAAGCAGAATCATTTTTCAGTTTCATTCTTTCTGAGACTTCCGGATGAAGTCCTCTGTGGGTTTGATCATTTTCATTCCCACCATATGTTTATGACACGCTCCCCGTTCTATATATCAGTGCAGAGCTGGTTATCGTCCCGCAGCAGTGTGTCGCAGATATTTTTGATGTATGCCCAATATTGAACCATGGTCTGCGCTACATTATTCTACGCCACAACACAGGCGACAATCAAGAGGGCCAATCAGGAACTAGCTGTGGGTCTAGATACGGCCGAGATGGTGAGAAAGTGGGGGCAAGTTTGTGCGACCACGGAGGGACACGCGGTTGTAATGTTGACCAATCTGCGGTCATCTAAAATTTGGGAGAGGTGTGTCTGCAGAAGGGGCGGGGCCATATTTCCATTCACTGTGACACACTGATGCAGAAAACCTGGTTTCTGAGTTTAAATCAGCCTCACTGATATCCAGAATATTTTCCCCAATAAAGATCTGATGGCCAGCTTCTTCAGGCTGAGGAGCTCAGTCATCCGGGGAGGACTCAGAGTAGAGCCGCTGCTCCTCCACATCGAGAGGAGCCAGTTGAGGTGGCTCGGGCATCTGATCCTGGACGTCTCCCTGGTGAGGTGTTTCAGGCACATCCCACCGGGAGGAGGTCCAGGGGGAGACCCAGGACACGCTGGAGGGACTATGTTTCTCGGCTGGCCTGGGAGCGCCTCGGGATTCCCCCGGAGGAGCTGGCCCAAGTGGCTAGGAAGATGGACATCTGGGCCTCCCTACTGAAGCTGCAACCCCCGCGACCCGACCCCGGATAAGTGGAAGAAGATGGCTGGATGGAAGATCTGATGGGCTTTTAAAGTTTGTTTTGGTAACAGAGAGAATATAAGAGATCCTGAGGTGTGAGAGTTTACTGTAATGACTGTAATGAACTATCAGGAGCCGTAAAGATTTAAAAAGGTTAAGGTTGCAGTTTGATGATCGACTTTGTCATTGTTTCATCGGACATGCGGCCGTATGTCTTGGACACTCGGGTGAAGAGAGGTGCGGAGCTTTCCACTGACCACTACCAGGTGGTGCGTTGGCTCTGGTGGTGGGGGAGGATGCCGGTCAGACCTGGCAGGCCCAAACATGTTGTGAGGGTCTGCTGGGAATGTCTGGCGGAGTCCCCTGTTAGGCAGGGCTTTAACTCCCATCTCCGGCAGAACTTCGAACACATTCTGGGGGAGGTGGGGGACATTGAGTCCGAGTGGACCATGTTCCGTTCCACCATTGTCAAGGCGGCTTATCTGAGCTGCGGCTGCAAGGTTGTCGGTGCCTGTTGTGGCGGCAACCCTCGAACCCGTTGGTGGACACCTCCGGTGAGGGATGCTGTCAGGTTGAAGAAGGAGGCCTATCGGGCCTTTTTGGCCTGTGGGACTCTGGAATCCACTGATGGGTACCGGCGGGCGAAGCGGCATGCGGCTCGGTTGGTTGCTGAGGCAAAAACTTGGGTGTGGGAGGAGTTTGGAGAGGCCATGGAGAAAGACTTCCGTATGGCTCCGAAGCGATTCTGGTCCGCCATCCGGCGTCTCGGGAGGGGGAAGCGGTGCAGCACCAACACTGTTTATAGTGGGGATGGTGTGCTGCTGACCTCGACCCGGGACGTTGTGGGTCGGTGGGCGGAATACTTCGAAGACCTCCTCAATCCCACCAACATGCCTTCCATTGAGGAAGCAGGGCCTGGGGACTCTGGACTGGGCTCTCCAATCTCTGCGGGCAAGGTCGCCGAGGTGGTTAAAAAGCTCCTCGGTGGCAGGGCCCCGGGGGTGCCACCCCGGCAAGGTCTATTCGGGGGTGCTGGAGAGGAGGGTCCGTCGGATAGTCGAACCTCGGATTCAGGAAGAGCAGTGTGGTTTTTGTCCTGGTCGTGGAACGCTGGACCAGCTCTACACCCTCAACAGGGTCCTGGAGGGTGCATGGGAGTTCGCCCAACCAGTCTACATGTGCTTTGTGGACTTGGAGAAGGCGTTAGACCGTGTCCCTCGGGGAGCCCTGTGGGGGGTTCTCCGGGAGTACGGGGTGCCGGGCCCTTTGATACGGGCTTACAGGTCCCTGTATGACCGGTGTCAGAGTCTGGTCCGCATTGTCGGCAGTAAGTCGGGCTTGTTTCCGGTGAGAGTTGGACTCCGCCAGGGCTGCCCTTTGTCACCGATTCTGTTCATTACCTTTATGGACAGAATTTCTAGGCGCATCCAAGGGGTTGAGGGGATCCGTTTTGGTGGCCTTAGGATTGCGTCGATGCTTTTTGCAGATGATGTGGTCCTATCGGCTTCATCAGGTCGTGATCTGCAGCTCTCGCTGGATCGGTTCGCAGCCGAGTGTGAAGCGGCCGGGATGGGGATCAGTGCCTCCAAATCCGAGGCCATGGTCTTGAGCCGGAAAAGGGTAGAGTGCCTTCTCCGGGTCAGAGGGGGTGTCCTGCCCCAAGTGAGGGAGTTTAAGTATCTCGGGATCTTGTTCACGAATGAGGGAAGAAGGGAGCGGGAGATTGACAGGCAGATTGGCGCAGCGTCTGCCGTGAAGCAGGCGCTGTACCGGTCCGTCGTGGTGAAGAGAGAACTGAGTCAAAAAGCAAAGCTCTCGATTTACCGGTCGATCTACATTCCTACCCTCATCTATGGTCATGAACTCTGGGTCATGACCGAAAGAACGAGATCGCGGATACAAGCGGCCGAAATGGGTTTCCTCCGTAGGGTGGCCGGGCTCTCCCTTAGAGATAGGGTGAGAAGCTCGGTCATCCGGGAGGGACTCGGAGTAGAGCCGCTGCTCCTCCACGTCGAGAGGAGCCAGTTGAGGTGGCTCGGGCATCTGGGTAGGATGCCTCCTGGACGCCTCCCTGGTGAGGTGTTCCAAGCACATCCCGGCCGGGGAAAACCCAGGACATGCTGGAGAGACTATGTTTCTCGGCTGGCCTGGGTGCGTCTTGGGGTTCCTCCTTAGGGGCTGGAAGAAGTGGCTGGGGAGAGGGAAGCCTGGGCCTCCCTTCTTAAGCTGCTGCCCCCACGACCCGACCCCGGATAAGCGGAGGAACATGGATGGAAGGTCCCAGTTTAAAGAATCGATCAAGGAATATATGGTGTTTGGTGCTTGTTTTTCTGCTAATGGTTACTTTATGATTCAGTTTTTCTTATATTCTGTTTCCCTTTATCTAAATTATAACCTTCTTTTCTATTATTAGGAAACTGGCTTTAAGGCATCACCCTGATAAGAACCCAAATAACCCAGAAGCTGCTGAGAAATTCAAGGAGATCAACAATGCCAACTCCATCCTCAGTGACGAGAACAAACGTGGCATCTATGACCAATACGGCTCAATGGGTCTCTCCATAGCAGAGCAGTTTGGTGAAGATGCCGTCAAGTACTACTTCCTCATGTCAAAGTGCTGGTTCAAGGTGATTGGCATCTAAAAGCAAAGCAGCAAACCAGGGGATCTGTGGCTGCAGGGTTTAGTTGGCTCTTAAGTCTTTCAGCGTATTTAACATCGATCTGTTTCAGACCCTGTTTTGCTGCTGCACCATCTTCACCTGCTGCTGCTGTTTCTTCTGCTGCTGTTGCTGCTGTGGAAGGTGCAAAGCTCAGCAGGAAGACGAATACTTTATGGACCCAGAAGATCTGGAGGCGGATTTTAATGAACAGGAAGCAGGTAATAGACTTTCTTTTTTTGCTTCCAGCTACTAAGTTCTTGTTTTAAAAATGAGTTGTTTTATGTCCAACTCTTCTTTTAAACCAACAGAAAGACATTTTTTTTCTGTTTGTTTTAACAATACATATTTGAAAGAATCACCTAAATCAGACAAATATCTCTCCTTCCAAAAGTTATTCTTTGATTTGAACATTTTTGTGTAATTTAGATTTTTATTTAATACTAATTTGTGTTTTTCAGCACGAGACCATGTAGTAATTAATCAGCCCCGCTGCAATGAGGACTCAGGTAAAAGTCTTTCCTGCTCAGCTAACAGTGATCAGGCCCTCGCCTTTCTGCTGCTCTGTAATGTTTGCTTCGACTGACTGGGCTTCCTGTTTCTATTCAGATTTTATGCCTGTGTCATAATGCTTTCATAAAAGAGAAAATGATAGAGGAAGATCACTAATAAGTCCCTTTTGCCGTCTTATGGCCACAACCAGCACAAAGTTGCAGCAGATTGCCAATTGGGTATTTGGCCATCTGCCAAGATAATCCCTTTGCTTTCTGGTGCAACAAACAGGTTCTATGATGCTAAATGAAGCATCCCCACATTATAATGATGCCACCACTGTGTTTTATTTGCTGGAGAAGTTCAGAGTGACAGGATGTTTTAACAGCAGTTTGCATGTAGTCCAAAAATAAGGCTGTCATCCAAGCAGAGCGTCTTCTAGCATGTTTGCTGTGTTCTCAACATGAATCTCAGGAAATACAAGTTATTTTTTGATTGGGCACGGCTAATAATACCATGGAAAATGGCATTATTAACTTTGAAATCTGTATTTAGTGATGTATTTTAGCTATGAGCTCATTTCTGGTGGTTAATTATATAAATTCCTGGATTGTTTTTGTTTTCTTTAAGTAAGTGTCAGTGCTTTTTGATTGACCAAAACTGAATATGGATAGCTCTTGTTTAGCTTTATGATCCCACTAAAGCAAAGGGAAACATGGGGCCAGTTTAACATCTCCTTGAAAATATGACTGATCAGAACAGAATAATGTGTTATGCTTCTCCCTTGCTGGTTAACAGGTGACTATAGAGGGGGATAGAAAATCAAAAAACTCTAATGGTTAGTGCTACGTTAGTGCAGATTTGTGCAGAAAAAATAGTTTGCGCTACTTTTGTTTAAGAGATATTAAAGATTATTTTTCAGGTCATCCAAAGGTCACCATCCCCCCCATTAAACTCCGATTTGAACCAAAGTGGTCTCCTTTTTTTGTGAGTCGTTTGTGCTGATTTGCGCACTAAAAAAGGAGACCACTTTGGTTCAAATCGGAGTTTAATGGGGGGATGGTGACCTTTGGATGACCTGAAAAATAATCTTTAATATCACTTTTTTTTTTTTTCTAAACAGTGTCCTGTCTGGCAATGTGGCAATAAGAATAATTGTCTTGATGCCAAAAGGAGCCCAACAGATTTTACTTTCACAAGTGTAACCAGTACGGCTATCGCCATAGTGTTTCACTTGTTTCATGCATATAAATTGCTTTATTATGATTATGCAGGGAGTTTTACAGTTTATATGGACACTGCAATGTAAATAGAGCAGAAAAACAGAAGAAAAGGAAAAAAGAAAAAGAGAAAAGATGAAAGAAAGAGGAGATAGAAAGGAGACAATGAGGAAACATTTTCAGTCTGCTTCATCACCTGTAACGAGATGTAAAAAGAACAGCACAACCGAAAGACACGGTACGAGATATACAATAAAGCAACACCTTGAAACTATCGCTAAAGTAATATTATTAAGTCTGACATGTACTCTGTGTTACCTGAAGATATGAATGTGGGGTTTCTGTATGGAAGTGAATCTCTAAGTACCTGGAGCCGAGCACCTGTAGTTGTTTGTGAGGGTGAACTTGTGAATGTAAAGTTTATCCATAGAAAAAATGCTCAATAGTGGTCGTGGAGAGCTGAAGAGGCACCCCCCCAGAGCACTGAGTCCAGCGCCGGGAGACCCAAAGCCCCAGGCGCTCAAAGGGACCCCAAGAGCGAAGGCACCAAGGAGGAGCTAGCCCCGGAAACCAGACCCCCACCAAGGGAGGAGGAGAGACGGCACCGAAGAAGCCCCCCAGCCACCGCCATGCCGGCGCCCCGGGGAGCCACGGGGACGAGTCCGCGGGCTCCGCTGGCAGCCAGCCACCCTGAAGTGAATCCGGTCCGGGGCCCCAGGGATCTGAGGCCCCAGGGGCGCCCAATCCCTAGACAGGAGTCCCAGCAAGACTGCGGAGAGGCCGCCAGGAATGAGCCAGCAGCCACCCGGGCATCCACCCCAGACCCCGAGCTCCACCAGTGCACCGGCGAGCCCCGACACCAGCCAGCGGAGGGAGAGCAGGACGGGGGGAATGGGCTCCGCACTTAGCCTGGGAGAGAAAAAAAAAACAAAAAACACTCACAATCTCAATCACGCCTTCCCTCCCTAGTGCCCCCACTCACACCACAGAAGAAGGGGGGAAAAAAAACGAGGACACACATTCACACATAACTCTCACATTCAATAATACCAGGACCAATGACCCGGCGGCACCGGTGGTTGGTCCCGGGATTATCGGATGACCCAATAAGTGAAGCTAAAATAGGGATGGGGGGGAGGGGAGCGATGACACCACCACACCAACCCATCTCTTTCGTGCATCGAGCCCGGCTCCCCACCCCGCACACGGACCGGACCACCCCAAGCAAGAGCCCCCCCCCGGGGCCCACCCATCCCGCGCAGGCCACCCAACCAGAACCCCCCCCAAACTACTTTGACCCGCCACTACACGCCCCTCCTTCCAGCCTTCTTTGGGGAGAGCAGAAGTGACAGCCCCGCCACCGGCAGGCCACCTAGGCCCCGCAGCCGGCCCCGGCCAAAACCGCGGACCAGGTGGCTCACTCTTCCTCCAGGCCCCAGACTCCGGGCGGCAGCCGGGGAACAGGGGTGTGAGAAGACCCCGATCCTCCCTGCGCCCACTCAAATGTGGTGTTGTTGCGTGTTGCTCTCAGATGTAATTAAAACTGGGAGTACCAAGAGGGGGTGTCCAGCACAGTCCAACCCCCCTCCGGGAGGTAGGCGGTGCCAGCGCACCCCCCCATTCAACAACCCTGAACCCTCAGTGTCTAGATGCGAGAGGGGATGGAGGAAGCCGACCGTGGTGAGGCCGATAAAATAAGCCCCCCACCCTCCAGAAAATGACCTACATAGATGTGTGTTGTGAAAATGTTGCAGATGGAAGTGTCTAAAATGTAGAATAAAATTGGGGTGGGGGACTTTATCAGAAGGTGGGGCCCTCCAGTAATGACCCCCTCCCCAAAAACCTACATGTGTGGCAGTGTGATGGAGTAGGCAGAGGGATGATTTCGGGGATGGGGAGCAAAGGACTGAGGTGCTTACTGCACTCCCAGGGAGCCAGCTCCCCCATTGACTCAAATAGGCACCCCCGTTCCCCAGAAGCCCCTCCGGAGAGGGGGGCCCCACCAGTCTCACCATCGTAGCCCGGGGGCCAGGTCCCGGCAGCAGGACCCATTAGCCAGCCGGGCACAGGGCCGACACCACCCCCCACCCCCCATCCTGTCCATCCACAAAAAAAAAAAAAATTATAATAATTTAAATAAATTAATGAATAAATAAGGGGGGGGGGGGACAACCCCGGCTGGCCAGCCCACGCGCAACACGCAGAGCCCCCACCCCGGACGAAGCCCCACCAGGGGACGGCACGGACCAGGACCGAGACAGGGAGCCAGACCCGAAGCCCTTCTAAAATCCTCTTACCTCTGTCACCACCCCCCCTCCGGAGATCTAATCCCTCCCCTACATTAACATTCAAACTACTCACCACACAAGCGACAAAAGACATCCAGGCTGAGATCATTCCCACTCCCCCTCCCTCCCCTTCCCCCACTAGCAGAGTGCAAACCCCTGAAGGGGTAAGCATCTGCCAGAGGTGTTAATGTCCATGCCCCCCCCCCCCCCCCCCCCCCCCCCCCCGAGGCACCCCAGCACACCAGAGGCCGCGGCAGGGCAGGACAGCGGACGTACACCGGCCCAGACCCCAAGCAGCACCCCCCACAGAAACCGAACCCCTGAATCCCGGGGCCCCCACCCGAGGGCAACGCGTCCCAGGGATCCCAGACCCCCGGACCCACCCAGCAGCGGCACAGCTGCCAGGCCAGTAGCCCACGTCCGCCACCATGGAACCCCCCAAGAGCACCACACGCGGCCGCCATAGGACCCCCCCCCCCCCCCCCCCCGGAGCCCCACAGCCCCCCACTACACTAAGTGATGGAGCAGATCAAGGGAGCCCAGAGGGATCGGTCTGATGGGGATGCAGATGCTGTCTCAGTATAGAGATCTGTTGTTGGATCACATTAACCTTGATTGATGCTGAGTTTATCCTCACTTTTCCAATTCATGAGGATAGTTTTCTTTGCGATACATAATGCAGTGAAAGCCATGCAAACTGATTTTTTTTTTTCCAGAGAGCTTCCCTCAAAGTCACCCAGCAAGCAAACTGGAGGGGAAAGTGAGATTTTACAACCCAGGCACAGTGATAAGTCCTTACATCCTTTAATATCTCTTAAAACGAAAGTAGAGCAAACAATATTTTTTTCTGCACTAAGGTAACAATAACCACTCAGTCTATTTGCAGAGTTTTTTATGTGGGTGGGGTGTCAGCTTCATGCAGCTTTTAACCTACATTAGAGCAAAATTAAAATGAGGCATGCATGCAGTGCATTGATAGCTGTGCTTCCAAAAACAGGATGTGGATGTAATGAAGAGCTTTTAACGTGGAATTATCCCACTGAATGCTGCAGAATACTTTGATATAATGAAGGTAGTTTTGCTTATCCACCACAGCGGAGCCTTTGACCTCCAGCCGCTTATTTCTGTTCTATAATCTGCACACATGAGTTCAGATGCTTCTGCTGCTTTTGCTTTGTCATAAATATATATATAAATATATATATATACAATCTTGTGCACTTTATTGCTCTTTTTTTTTTATTGCTTGAAAGTGAAATTGTGTCATCCATGAATCCTTATGGGGATATGTTTTCAGCTTATCGAGCTCTAATCTACGGATAACTTATTTTTGTTGGAATCAAACTATTTATGCTCATAATCTTGGCTTCCTTCATCCTTTTTTTTGCAGCTGAGAACACAACAATTGTGCTTCAGCCTATGGCTACCAACGGCACCTCAAGCCCTGGAGAGACCCGGACCATGGCTCTGTCCACAGTCGATTGAGCGAGTCGGCCAGTGGATGAGTAAGCCTTTAAAAAGGAGAGCTTTGAATCTTTTTGGACTAGGTGTGGGAGTGAGGTCCCACCTGCAGCTTTCCTAATTAATTCAGATCAACTTATTCTGCAGATTTTCCTCGGACTGAGGAACAGGAAACGCCCCAATAAGACGCCTTTCTATTTACGTGAATGTTGGTACTGCCAAAGGGTTGTTTTGTGTTTATTTCCCCATTAGATCATGTGTATATAATTTTTTTTAAATAAAAACTTGTTTATATCTGTAATATTTTCGTGCAAAAAATGACAAAGCCATGCAGATCAAAGCAACTGATCTCTTGTTAAACATTTTTTTTTCTTGTGCACTTTAAACCAACAGTTTAGTGTTAAAAGTTCTCATGGTGGTTTAAGAATGTCTCTGCTCAGGATTCCCTAAATGTTGAATGTTGTTTCCTTCTATTTTAACACGCTGCTTTTACATTTTAAGGCCAAACCACTTGTCTTCCTGTACATGCTAACATGCTGGAGAATGAATTAATAAGTGAAAGCTTTGGGTGGACACATCAGGTTGTGATGGTGGCACAGGTCTATCTAAGACAAACCGCTTTTTATTTTTAATCGTCTTTCTGTGATGGTTGGATCATACTGATTTCGATCCACTTTTTCCTCTGCATGCAAAGATTTTAAGAGTTGTTCTTCCTGCTAATTATATGTGATCAAACTTCACTTTAGCCAAAATGTTTTCAGATCATTACTGACATCTTTTATTACGCTGGTTTTAATTAGCCGGCTCTAAAAGGTGTTATTTACTCTGCACAGGGTTCCTTCTTCAGCTGTAGCATGGCTTGATTTTGTAAGTTTTACACATGGGCCGGTTTGAGATTCTCAGGGTACGTTAACCTGGAGTAGAAACACAAGGTTTGCGCAGGATTAAAATATATATATATATATATGATATTTTTATTTCATTGATCTATGTAGTTTTAAGCAAAAGTATGAAATAAACATTGGATTCAGGAAACTTAGAAAAAAACAAATCTTTTTCTCAGCTCATCGCTTCCATTTCTCTGCACTTATCGTCGCCTTGCTAGAATTATTTTCAAAAATCCCACTAATTCCTTTTATTTTTTAAATTATTTTAAGCCTCCTGACTGGCAGTGTGCAGGACCAGCTGGGCTGAAACTACTGTCTCTCTTGCACTTTCCTTTCATGATGAGGATTTTGAACTAGGAAATGAGTTGAAATGTTAGCGGTGTTAAAATAAATCATTTTAAAAGTCTTGACATACCTTGAAACCTGTAATCAGTCTGTGCCTTATGGGGCAAAAACAGAAAATCCAGTTTATTGGCAGACTCTTCCAAAAGCCGCCTGCAGGGGGAGTCAGAGGCCTGCTTTCCAGTATTTATTTTCTTTCTTTAATTGAGGCTTGAGAAAATGGCAGCTGTTGCTGCCTCTGGTTTTTAGATTTACTATAGCAGAGTTATTACTGGATTAAAGATCCATGTGCCTTTTTGTTTACGTTAATCAATCAAGGCATTAGTGATTCTTAGTGATCACCACAACAGGCAAGTAAGATTAACTGGATCTATGATATTCCTGCCATTTATTGAAGAAAGTTGTTTTTTTCTGTACTTAGATCATTAAGCATCATTTTTATTTGTTGTTAACTTTAAACTGTAAATTTTATCTCTTAATCCTGGTGATGGGATCAAATAAATTATTTTTCTACTCTTTGTGGTGTTTGGTAAGTTATTCAGGGCTCTGTTTTTAATTAGAGGTTTTATGGCGGTAAGATGTTAAATTATATTTCTGTGTTTTATATTTATGATTTATTTTTGCCTCATATGGACATATTTGATTTACAAATGATCAGTTCTTTAACTGTTTGATTTAAATTATAAAAAGTCTGTAAAAGTACATTTTAAATATTAAAGTTTTTGTCCTGAATGTTTGCAAATAAAGCAGCATAAATGTATAATGGAGTTGTGGATCATTCTGGGATCACGTCTCCCATTGGCTGCTGTAGAACACCACCCCTGTTGGATAAGATGTTAGAACAGGTGGCAGGTTTTCAAGCTTTACTTCAACAATCATTAATTTTAGGGAGTCTAAAGCAAAAAATCCTGGAAAACATGGAGGTGACGTCTGACTGGGAGAAGCAGCTCCTTATTGAGACCTATTTGGAGCCTCTAACAAGGTGCCTGTCTCATCTCAACATTTTATTCCAGGTAGCTTCTCTGACTACAGGAATGTCTAGAATGTTGTGTTACTTAGCAGGACGAGTCCTGCAGAGGATTCAGAGCTCAGTGAAGATGACTGCAGTGTGGACGGCCTGCTGCTCCACCAGGAGACCTGCAGCATGTCAGCATATGAAAACAATACCAGACGTACGGCCAGAAAGAAGCTCCTCATCGCATGTGGTGTCAGCCTCGTGTTTATGACTGGAGAGGTGATTGGTGAGATGGTAGTGATTCGTCTGAGGACCTTTCTAATAAATCTATCTCTAGAACAATTTTTGGGTGAAAAAAGTTGTAAAAAAAAAAAGCAAAAACATTGAAATATGGTGACAAAATCCAAGTTGAAATCAACACATTGAGGGGAGTTTTCTTTCCAGGTGGGTACTGGGCACACAGTCTGGCCATCATGACAGACGCTGCTCATCTTCTGACTGATTTCTGCAGCATTGTGATCAGCATCGTCTCCCTGGTGATTTCTTCCAGGCCTCAAACTCAAACCATGACCTTTGGGTGGCATCGAGCAGGTGGGATCAAACTACAAAGCTGTATTTAGCAAGGTTTTACTTTTTTCTGACGACTGAAGCAAATGTATAACTCAACGTAGAATGAATCTGCAAAAGATGGAGTGAACAGGTGAGTCCTCAGCCTGGTTTTTAAAACCTTCACTGAACATGTCTGCTGAACTTCTTGAAGGAGATTGCTCCACGGATTGGGCAGGGAAGGAAAAATCAATGTCCACAGTCATTTTTCCTTTAGCTTCAGGCTCTAAGATCCGTACCCCGAAGAGAACAAGGTGATAGGATGGAGCCAGACCATTTATAGGGGCCTTATAGGTCCTCCTTCTCACATATAAAGCCTTAAATGGCCAAGCTCCATCTGATATCAGAGATCTGATTGTTCCTTATGTTATTAACAGAGCACTTCGCTCTCAATCTGCAGGTTTACTAGTGGTTCCTAGAACTTCTAAAAGTAGAATGGGAGGCAGATCTTTTAGTTATCAGGCTCCTCTCCTGTGGAACCAACTACCAGTTTTAGTCCGTGAGGCAGACACCCTGTCTACTTTTAAGGCTAGGCTTAAAACTTTCCTTTTTGATAAAGCTTCTAGTTAGAGTGGCTCAGGTTATCCTGAGCTATCTCTATAGTTCTGCTGCTATAGGCTTAGACTGCTGGAGGACATAGGGACCCCTTTTTCATCATTCTGCTTCATTCTATCTCTATTCTCCCACTCTGCAGAATCTGTTAGTTCAATCTCTAACGTTCTGCTCTCTCTGCTTTTTCTCATAGTAGCTTCATCTGGTCTGTTCCTGTTTGGCTGTGACTCCATCCTGGAGAGAAATATCAGCTGTGCTGCTGCCATCAACACCTTTATTTCTAGATGCTGGAGATCAGCCTGTTTTTCAGTGTAGTCCTGTTTCTCTGACTGTGACTAACCCTAACCCTCTGGCATGGGAGCTGGCTCGGAGCTCGTCTGCCTGGCTGTGTGTTTCCTGGACGGGGCCGCCTGTGGAGCTGGTTGACAGTTGCCTTTTGTATCTATGCTTCTTTTTCTATGTCTGCTTCTGTCTCCTTGAACCCCAGTGGGCCTCAGCAGATGGCCGCTCACACTGAGCCTGGTTCTGCTGGAGATTTCTTCCTGTTCAAAGGGAGTTTTTCCTCTCCACTGTCGCTACAAGCATGCTTAGTGTGAGGGATTGCTGAAGAGTCAATGAGTCGATGCAATCAACTGGTTTTCCTTAGATAGAAAACTTTGTATCAATTTGACTGGATGATCTGGTTGAACTGTAAAGTGCCTTGAGATGACATGTGTTGTGAATTTGGCGCTATATAAATAAACTGAATTTAATTGAATTGAATAGGTGAACAGCAACACCTTACAATCTCCCCAAACCTGACAAGGCAACCAGTAAAGAGATGGTGGTACTGGATTATTATGCTCATTTCCCATTTTTGGTTAGAAAAAAAAAAAGCTTTTTTTTTAACCATCTCCAGGCCTCTAAAACGTTTCCTCTGTTACCAATATAGGAGTCCATTAATGATCACTAATCAATGCATCAAAACATGTATAGATTGGAACCTCAGCATTTTTAAACGATAAATCTGCTCTTTTTAGCAACTATGTTGATAAAATGTTCGTCTTTTAATCTCTTTAATGAGCTTTACTTTGAGCACATTTGCTTTGTGGAGTTTTAAAAAACAAATGTTCTTACCTTTTCCCATTCTTTTAGATCAGAGGAAGTGAGACTCTTTGATGGCTAATTAACATCTCACTGGTTATTATCCACCAGGTTTTTAAGTCCTAGACTAAAATCTTTTGATTTTTTTGGGGCTTTTTGAGGTGAAATGAACCCAGAGCATCACAGGTCCTCCACCGTACTTTGAGCATGAGCTTATGAAAAGATTATTTTAGTCCCATCTGACCTCATCAGGCCTGGAAATTAGTGTCTAAAAGAAGGAGGTCCCTTTATCATGTCTTTATATACAGCAAGAAAACAAGAAGTTGGAGATCGATGTTTTGCTGATAGAAAGTTTAATAATAGAAGAACAAAATCTGAATACAGTAGGCTACTTGTGATTTTTGTTTAAAATAAACTGCCCCTTTAGATGGGAGTTCTTTTAGGTGTTCGTGCTGCACTGTGGTGGTTCAGTATGAAATGAACCTACAGGATCAGATGTTAAATTTATACGTGCGTAGAATAAATGTTTGCTCTATAACCGTTTCCCTGTATTGTTTATTCTGTTATGCAGAGATTCTGGGAATGTTTCTCTCCATTGTGTCGATCTGGGTTGTGACTGCAGTTCTGGTCATGTCTGCAGTCCAGAGGATCACTGACGGAGACTACGATATCGACAGTCAGATCATGCTCATAACTTCAGGCTGTGCTGTGCTCGTCAACATCCTGTGAGTGAACAGTTTGTTTTTTAGTTAGTGGAGGGATGGATGGTCATCCAGCCTTCCTGTTCTTCACTCAGGATGATCCTGATTCTTCATCAGTCTGGCACCTCGCATGGTCACAGCCATGGGATCCCATCAGTGCAGGGGGATAAACATAGCCTGGATCGTCACCGTGGCAATGCGAGCGTGAAGGCGGCCTTCATCCACGTGTTGGGTGACCTGCTGCAGAGCGCCGGTGTCCTGCTGGCTGCAACCATCATCCACATTTGGGTAAAGTTGAACAAAACCACAGGATGGATTAACATGTGCAGAGATGTGCTCTTTTTTCTGTGGGCTTTTCACTCTTTGATTTGAAATGTCTCCTTATCTATAGATCTGCTCTCTCTTGTTATCTTAAACAGTCCCTTGTAGCTTTATACGTGTTCTTAGGTTAATAGGAATGTTGCCAACTGTTTTAGAAATAGATGAGGGACACATCTTGGCCAGGTATTGTGTTTGATGCAACCAATATGGTGTCTTTTTTTTTTTTTTGCGTCTTCCTCTCTGTACCTAAGGAAATTGCAAACACTTGTCTTAACCCTGGATTTAATTAGACAGATTTTTGTTTCTTAAAATCTGACCGTTCCATCAATTTCATTTACTTTTCCACTAAAAAAATTGCCACTTCCAGTACACTAAAACTTTTAATTTATGCTTCTCACCACTACTTCATGTTTCGTTTAAACAAGTTTGTTTTAACAGTTCAATGTGGTGTTTTTTTTGTAAAATAAAATTAAAACATTTAAGGCAGGAGTAACCGATAACAATCAGCTGGGTCCAAATTAATCAACCAGTAAAGGTCTGGAGAATTTTTTTTTTTTATTTAATCTGTTACTTTAAACACTTTTTTAAATAAAAAAATAGAAAAAAAAAATAGAAATTTTTTCATTTTAAAATCGTTCAGTTTGGTTTATAGATAATTTCCTGATTCCCATATTTTCTCAAACCCCTGAACTGATAGTTTGTTCTTTTCTCTGTCTTAATGTTGGCAGTGGGCTTTAGGCTGCCCTGCAAGGCTTTAAACCTGGGTTTAACCAGAGACTAAGCCATTCTCAAGCACATATCAAGGTGCTCATTTTGAGCCTGGATCCAGATTTATTGTTGATTCTGTTCATGGTGGAGAATCCTGCTTCACAGCAGCAGGTTGAGCCAAACATCCTCTAAATGTGCAGGGTCATCTTTGAGCACGCCATTTCACTTTTCTTTCACCAGTTCACCGCAGTTCTTCCAGCAGTCCACACTTTCTCTGCTCTCTTTTTCTCATGGTCTTCTCCTTCTTTCCCATCGCCCGGCTTGCCACAGGTTTGCCTGCTGTGTCTAAAAGTAGCAGCAGCAGCAACCCAGACTGACAGCTCATTGGCTCATTTGGATCACGTGCAGCCTGGAGCCGGACGCTCCACAGGGCTTTACCGTATGAACAGGAGAAGAGGCGCAAGCGAAGTTAGACACTGTCGTTGGATGACATGTGGTAATTCATAAATGTTTTAATCAGGTTGGGTCCGGATTAGCCAGCAGGTGGGTCTGGATCTGGACTGCGGTCCGCTAATCCATGACCTCTGCTTTAAGGTGTATTGGGACCTTTTACTCCCTGACAGTAGGGATGTAACCATAACAGTATTGGCCCATTAGTACGCTCATCAAAAAATATAAACGCAACATTTTTGGTTTAGGTCCCATTTTTTCTTAAATGACCTCAAAGATCTAAAACTTTTTCCACATACACAATATCACCATTTCCCGCAAATATTCTTCACAAACCAGTATAAATCTGCGATAGTGAACACTTCTCTGTCCACCTCACAGGTGTGCCATATCAAGATGCTGATTAGACACCATGATTAGTGCGCAGGTGTGCCTTAGCCTGCCCACAATAAAAGGCCACTCTGAAAGGTGCAGTTTTGTTTTATGGGGTATCCGGTGTGACCACCATATGTTTCACACACTGCAACACATCTCCTTCTTGTAAAGTTGATCAGGTTGACAATTGTGACCTGAGGAATGCAGTGGTGCCTCCACAAATGTTTCATAGGGGGGGCCAGATGGGGCCGCTAAAAATCTTGGGGTGGCACATTGAGACTAAAAGGCATAATTTCAGGGTTTGAATCTACTATTGTGGTAAACCTGCCTATAGAAATCATAAAGAGTTTAGTAAAAACCTACTCATACCTTGGTTTAATGTGTGATTTTTAATGTTATGCGCTGGCTGTGCTAAACTGAGGCCCCGTCCACACGAAGCCAAACCCTGGCCTAAACGCACTAATTTTTCACCAAACCAGCCTCTCATCCATACGAAGCCGGCGTTTCGGGGGTCTAAACGATCTTTTTTTTATTCAGCCTTCAGAGTTGGAAGATTTTGAAACGCCGTTTTCGCGTTTCCATCTTTAGGCTCTGACCGCATTTTTTTTCTTACACGCATGCGTCATAGCGTCGCCTCTAAACACGCATGCGCGACACAGTATCACAACAACAATGGCGCCGTACTGTGTTGAATGGTTGCTGCTAATGCTACTCACCCTGCTGTCGGGCTTACAACAGAATCTTCTTCTTCTGGAATATCTCCAGGAAGAACAGAGCAATATTGACCACATAGTTCAGCACCTGAATTTGACTGAACCACGAAAATGGACCCGCAGGGCAACCATGTATAAATATTAGTGCGCATGCCCACATTTCGTCGCCTATTTTTGCTTTGGCACCACAGCGCCACTTACAGGCCTGGCATACATTTTGCAGCGTTTTCATGCATTCGTGTGGACGATCACATTTATTTTACGTCTCCGTCTTTACGACAAACGTTCTGGAAAATATTAGCGTTTCGTGTTCGTTTTGACTTCGTGTGGACGGGGCCTGATACTTCAACAATTTACACTGGGGAGTGGGGGGGGGGCAGAGCTGTGTGGGAGAGCTTTGGGACCCTGGTCCTTTGTGTTGTACGAGTGGTTGGTGAGGAATTTGTCACTATCAAGTGAATATCCATCAGTATTTCTGGCGATTTATTTGTTGTTTACATTTTTTTTATTTTTGCTTCGGTTAAGGAACCAGTCTCCCCTTTTCATCCTGCTTCTCCCTGCTGGTAGGCCTCAGTCCGGCACACTTTTCCCTTTAGCTTGGTGTTTAAAAACCAATCAAATAATCCCCCCCCCCGTGTTGTCACAGACCTATGTTGAGCAGCACTGTCTTCTCTACATGGGTCCAGAAGTTTTGCTTTGTTTTGCCACATAATGGACTGGAGCATCATTTTTCATTTACTTTAGCTCTAGGCTCTAATATTCCAAACCAGTAAATGACAGTGATGCAACATAAAATGATCAAAGGCCATGCAACGAAAAAGGAACAGTGAGAGCAACAAAGCAAAATCTGGACGGCCTGCAAAAACTGGGGCAGCAAGTTCCCCCTTTGGAGCCCAAAAGTGTGTCAAAGAGGCCGCTCTGTATCCAAAACAATTGTTGGAACCCTGACGAGGGCTAAAATGAGTTCTTAAGAGCCCCCTCTGGATCCAAAACGCTTCCTGAAGTGCCACCATCCTGTACTTAATGTATAAATGCATTTCCATAGTGTGATTCTACCACAACGTTTCCAAAAAAAAAACAAAAAACAACTTTATCCAAAAAACAGTATTCATGCTCCTTTACGTTTTTTACATTTTGTCAGTGAAAACGTCTGTCATCAAGCAAACTGGATTATTTAAAACAAGGAAAACTGTGAGCTCAGGGATATAGAAGAGATCTCTGGTTGATAAGTGAACATCCCTGATGAGAGGAAAGCATGTTTATATTTCAGAATTCAAAGTTCAGCCTCGGTTCCAGTTTACAGTCTGTGTCCAATCAGACTGAGCTGGGGCTGTTTTGCAAAGAGAACATAGTAGAACTATTTTCTATAGAAATGGTGACGGACAGACCAAATAACTTCTGATAAAGCTTCACACTATCTTAAAAAACTCCCAACTCACACATAGGCACTATTTTGTGTTCTTCTCCTCTATAAATGCCCAATCAAAATTCAAGTATGGAATTCTAATGTGAAATATTTAGAGTAATAAAGACCATTATCAGTTTATTGGTCTCTTCAGCTAATATATATCATATTTGTCTCCCCAACAGCCTGAGTATAAAGTGGCAGATCCGGTTTGCACCTTCCTGTTCTCTGTCCTTGTTATTGGGACGACGCTTCCCATCACAAAGGACGTGTTCAGGATACTGATGGAAGGTAAACTCCTGATGTGATGCAGAACGCGTTCTATTGACGGCAGGTAATCAGTCTGTTCTGTTTAGGTGCTCCTCAGGACGTCACCTCGGGGGCTGTTAGAGAGCAGCTGCTGTCCTTTGGAAAAGTTAAGGCTGTTAACAGTTTGCACACATGGAGCCTCAACATGAATCATTCCCTGCTGGCTGCACACATCACCATAGGTAAAGAAAAAACCTAAACTGACCCGTTCCATCATAAACCTTTATATTATAACACAAACAAAATGCCTGTTTTTACAGAAGAAGATGCAGATTCACAGATCATCCTCAGGAAGGCAACAAAACTCCTTCGTTCCAAGTTTGGTTTCTCCAGCATCACGATTCAGGTGGAGCAACGCAGGACTTCTGCTGCACCATGAATCTGATCGACTGCTCCCACGGTGGCAACGATCCACAGCTGGTTAGAAAAGTGGAAAGACTATCGTTACTGCAGCGATGCTGAGTTCATGAGGAGCAGTCAGGAGTGTCATCAATTTAAGGCTTTTAATGATTCATTTGAACCAGCTTTGTTCCAGGAAGGAATGATTAAGATTTTTAAAGGGGCTTAGATGGAATAAAAGCAATAAAATCAAATAAATACTTCCTAATATTTGGTTAAATGTCCGCGAGATGCTTCTCAAACAAGTTTTTTGTGGCCATCGACAATCTTTAGGTACATTTCTGATCATTCTTCTAGTTTAAGCTAACTGACCCAACTGTTAACTCTGACCCTCGGTTTCTAACATGGCTAATGAAGGTCCTCCCTTTATCTAATCTAAAACCAGGTTTTTTGGGGAATTTGGGATCATGAATCTGTTGAAAAACATCCGGTTTTGTAAAAATTTTAGTAAACAGATCCAAAATGCATCTTTAGAGCGGTTACATTGCTCATCATCCTCCTGGAACATCAGTGTCCACCACTGAAAGGCTCCATGTTTGAAGGGAAACGGCGATTCCAGTAATGAAATGAGCAGCGGCCCACATGGAGAAATGGCCAAATGTCTTCTAAACTGTGAAATGGTCTGTAGACAAAGATTGAGCCTTTTGGTCACCTTTTGGGGTAAAATGTGACTAGATGAGGCTTTTTTATATGAACTACTGATTTCTATTTATTCCCTGGATTGCTGAAAGCCCGAGAAAAGTGAAATCACCAGCCACCATATTGGTACTCCCCACTCCCACAGTGATGCGCGGTAAAAATGCCAACATGTGTAGCATTTGGCTGCAAAAACAAGCAGTTTCCCAGCTGTGGAAAGAGGATCCACAGGTAATTTCCCAGTCAGAGGATGAACTAACCATGAAAATCAATCTATAAGTCAATTCAATTCAATTCAATTTATTTCTATATCACCAATTCACAACACATGTCATCTAAAGGCACTTCAACCAGATCATCCAGTCAAATTGATTTAAAGTTTTCTATCTAAGGAAAACCAGTTGATTGCATCGACTCATTGACTCGAATGCAATCCCTCACACTAAGCATGCTTGTAGCGACAGTGGAGAGGAAAAACTCCCTTTTAAACAGGAAGAAACCTCCAGCAGAACCAGGCTCAGTGTGAGCGGCCATCTGCTGAGGCCCACTGGGGTTCAAGGAGACAGAAGCAGAAATACAAATGCAACTGTAAAAGGAAACGCACAGCCAGGCAGACGAGCTCCGAGCCAGCTCCCATGTCAGAGGATGAAGAGAGCACATCCAGTTAGTCACAGTCAGAGAAACAGGACTACACTGGAAAACAGGCAGATCTCCAGCATCTATAAACAAAGGTGTTGATGGCAGCAGCACAGCTGATGTTTCTCTCCAGGATGGAGTCACAGCCAAACAGGAACAGACCAGATGAAGCTACTATGAGGAAAAGCAGAGAGAGCAGAACGTTAGAGATTGAACTAACAGATTCTGCAGAGTGGGAGAATAGAGATAGAATGAAGCAGAATGATGAAAAAGGGGTCCCTATGTCCTCCAGCAGTCTAAGCCTATAGCAGCATAACTATAGAGATAGCTCAGGATAACCTGAGCCACTCTAACTATAAGCTTTATCAAAAAGGAAAGTTTTAAGCCTAGCCTTAAAAGTAGACAGGGTGTCTGCCTCACGGACTAAAACTGGTAGTTGGTTCCACAGGAGAGGAGCCTGATAACTAAAAGATCTGCCTCCCATTCTACTTTTAGAAGTTCTAGGAACCACTAGTAAACCTGCAGATTGAGAGCGAAGTGCTCTGTTAGGAACATAAGGAACAATCAGATCTCTGATATCAGATGGAGCTTGGCCATTTAAGGCTTTATATGTGAGAAGGAGGATTTTAAATTCTATTCTTGATTTAACAGGAAGCCAATGAAGAGAAGCCAGGATAGGAGAGATGTGATCTCTCTTTTTAATTTTCATTAGAACTCTGGCTGCAGCATTTTGGATCAGCTGAAGGCTTTTAACTACAGTTTGTGGACTTCCTGAAAGTAAAGAATTACAATAGTCCATTCTTGAAGTAACAAATGCATGGACTAGTTTCTCAGCATCACCCCTGGAGAGGATATTTCTAATTTTTGCAATATTGCGCAGATGAAGGAAGGTAATTCTAGAAACCTCTTTGATATGGGATTTAAATGACAGGTCCTGATCAAAAACAACACCAAGATTTTTTACTTTATTATCTGAGATCAGTTTAATCCCATCCAAATGAAGTGACTGACTAATCAGCTTCTTTTTCAGAGACTCTGGTCCAAAGACTATAACTTCTGTTTTGTCTGCATTCAGAAGCAGAAAGTTAAGAGTCATCCAGGTTTTTATGTCTTCAAGACATGCTTGTAATCTATGTAATGGGTTAGCTTCATCTGGATTTATAGACAGATATAGCTGGGTATCATCAGCATAACAGTGGAAATTAATCCCATGCTGTCTAATAACTCTACCAATTGGGAGCATGTATAAAGTAAAGAGAATTGGTCCTAGCACTGATCCCTGTGGTACTCCACAGGTAACCTTTGAGCGTGTTGAAGATCTAATAACTGTCCAAAACTGTCAGTTGTTTTTATTTTTAATAATAATGTCCACACAGTAGTTCCATATCCTCAAAGCAAAACCCTGGAAGTGTTTAAGTCTAAAGTCCGTTCCAAAACTAAAAATCGAAAATTGTTCTTTTTAAAAACAGTTAATACCTACAACTCTTTTGAACATTTAACCCTTAATTTCCCTGATCCAAATTTCAAGGCAAGAAAACCTCTTCTTTTTGTAACTTTGTATCGTCCACCAGGTCCTTACTCTGAATTTTTAGATGAGTTTTCAGAGTTCCTTTCTGATTTGGTATTAAATACTGACAGGGTCATCATAGTGGGAGATTTTAACATCCATGCTGACATTGAAGGCGATAGCTTAAGAGCAGCCTTTAATGCTATCTTAGACACTATTGGCTTTGTTCAAAATGTGAATAGTCCGACACATTCTCATCTTCATACTTTGGATCTTGTGCTGACATACGGCATAGAATGTGAAGAAACAACAGTATTTCCTCACAACCCTGTCCTCTCTGACCACTTTCCAATAACCTTCAGGATTACTTTAACAGAGTTCTCCTCCCCCAAAAGAAGGTTCAATTTTAGTAGATCTTTATCAGAAAGTGCAGTTATAAATTTTAAAGAATCTGCTTCACTTTCTCTCTCCTCTGTGTCGCTGAGCAGTGCTGCAGAGTGCAAAAGCTTAGCTTATTCCCCTTCACAGGTTGATGATTTTGTTGATGGCGTTGCTAGTTCTCTGTGTACTGCTTTAGACAACGCAGCTCCTTTGAAAATGAAAACCGTTAAAAATAGAAAGCTGGCTCCTTGGTTTAATGCAGAGCTGCGTACTTTGAAGCAAAATGCTAGGAAACTGGAGAGAAAATATCGCTCCACAGGCCTGCGAGAGTCCTTCCTAGTCTGGAAAAATAGTTTACTGCTGTATAAGAGGACCCTTTGTAAAGCAAGAGCAGCATACTTCTCCTCATTAATAGAGGAGAATAAGAATAATCCTAGATTTCTTTTTAATACAGTTGCCAAACTCACCCAGAGCCATAGCTCTGTTGAACCGTCCATTCCACCTGCTCTTAGCAGCAATGATTTTATGGGATTCTTTATAAATAAGATTGATCTTATTAAAAATAAAATCATAAGCACTCCTCTATCCGCGATTGTATCTGAGGTAGTCATGGAATCTGAACCGAGTTTAGACTGCTTTGATCCAGTTGAACTTTCTGAATTAGCTAAATTATTGTCTTCATCTAAGCCTTCAACTTGTATGTTAGATCCAGTTCCAACCAGGTTATTTAAGGAGGTATTCCCTTTGATCTCCTCCTCCATTCTAGATGTGATTAATCTATCTCTGTTACAGGGATATGTACCTAAAGCTTTTAAGGTTGCTGTAATTAAACCTCTGCTTAAGAAACCGTCTCTTGACCCAGATGACTTGGTCAATTATAGACCTATATCCAATCTTCCTTTCTTATCCAAAATTCTTGAGAAAGTAGTTGCCAAACAAGTTTGCGATCACTTCCACCATAATGAACTTTTTGAAGAGTTTCAGTCTGGCTTTAGAGCTCATCATAGCACTGAAACAGCTCTGGTGAAAGTCACTAATGATATTCTCATGGCCTCAGATAATGGACTTGTATCTGTGCTCGTCCTGTTAGATCTCAGTGCTGCATTTGATACAGTTGACCATAATATTCTTTTAGAAAGACTTGAATATTTTATTGGAATTAAAGGAACAGCACTAGACTGGTTTAAATCTTATCTATCTGATCGAATTCAGTTTGTTCATGTTAATGATAGATCTTCAACACACTCAAAGGTTACCTGTGGAGTACCACAGGGATCAGTGCTAGGACCAATTCTCTTTACTTTATACATGCTCCCAAATGGTAGAGTTATTAGACAGCATGGGATTAATTTCCACTGTTATGCTGATGATACCCAGCTATATCTGTCTATAAATCCAGATGAAGCTAACCCATTACATAGATTACAGGCATGTCTTGAAGACATAAAAACCTGGATGACTCTTAACTTTCTGCTCCTGAATGCAGACAAAACAGAAGTTATAGTCTTTGGACCAGAGTCTTTGAAAAAGAAGCTGATTAGTCAGTCACTTCATTTGGATGGGATTAAACTGATTTCAGATAATAAAGTAAAAAATCTTGGTGTTGTTTTTGATCAGGACCTGTCATTTAAATCCCATATCAAAGAGGTTTCTAGAATTTCCTTCTTTCATCTGAGGAATATTACAAAAATTAGAAATCTCCTGTCCAGGGGTGATGCTGAGAAACTAGTCCATGCATTTGTTACTTCAAGGCTGGACTATTGTAATTCTTTACTATCAGGAAGTCGACTAACTGTAGTTAAAAGCCTTCAGCTGATCCAAAATGCTGCAGCCAGAGTTCTGATGAAAATTAAAAAGAGAGATCATATCTCTCCTATCCTGGCTTCTCTTCATTGGCTTCCTGTTAAATCCAGAATAGAATTTAAAATCCTCCTTCTCACATATAAAGCCTTAAATGGCCAAGCTCCATCTGATATCAGAGATCTGATTGTTCCTTATGTTCCTAACAGAGCACTTCGCTCTCAATCTGCAGGTTTACTAGTGGTTCCTAGAATTTCTAAAAGTAGAATGGGAGGCAGATCTTTTAGTTATCAGGCTCCTCTCCTGTGGAACCAACTACCAGTTTTAGTCCGTGAGGCAGACACCCTGTCTACTTTTAAGGCTAGGCTTAAAACTTTCCTTTTTGATAACGCTTCTAGTTAGAGTGGCTCAGGTTATCCTGAGCTATCTCTATAGTTCTGCTGCTATAGGCTTAGACTGCTGGAGGACATAGGGACCCCTTTTTCATCATTCTGCTTCATTCTATCTCTATTCTCCCACTCTGCAGAATCTGTTAGTTCAATCTCTAACGTTCTGCTCTCTCTGCTTTTTCTCATAGTAGCTTCATCTGGTCTGTTCCTGTTTGGCTGTGACTCCATCCTGGAGAAAAATATCAGCTGTGCTGCTGCCATCAACACCTTTGTTTCTAGATGCTGGAGATCTGCCTGTTTTCCAGTGTAGTCCTGTTTCTCTGACCGTGACTGGCTGGATGTGCTCTCTTCATCCTCTGACATGGGAGCTGGCTCGGAGCTAGTCTGCCTGGCTGTGTGTTTCCTGGACGGGGCCGCCTTTTAAAGTTGCCTTTTGTATCTATGCTTCTTTTTCTATGTCTGCTTCTGTCTCCTTGAACCCCAGTCAGCCTCAGCAGATGGCCGCTCACACTGAGCCTGGTTCTGCTGGAGGTTTCTTCCAGTTCAAAGGGAGTTTTTCCTCTCCACTGTCGCTACACGCATGCTTAGTGTGAGGGATTGCTGAAGAGTCAATGAGTCGATGCAATCAGCTGGTTTTCCTTAGATAGAAAACTTTGAATCAATCTGACTGCATGATCTGTTGAACTGGAAAGTGCTTTGAGATGACATGTGTGTCATCAATTTAGCACTTTTGGCACATCTGTATTCTGCTCCATTAACACATTAATTTTATTGAGATGGATTTGTATAACATGTTATATTACATGAAGTTTAGACTTCATTGACTTCATAATGACCATAGAATGTGATGGGCCGTTTTTATCATAACTTACAGTAATCTACTGATGCTATGAAACACCAAATGTGTCAAAGTGATGAATTTATCCTTATCTTAAAAGTCATTCAACATCAATGTTGTTCGATGCAGTAGTGCACATATCGTTTACATTGTGACGAGTCTAACTAGGGAGTACCAATATGGCGGCCGGTGGCTTCACTTCAGCCCCTTACTACCAATGGGCAATCAGCAATCCAGTGAATAAATAGAGACCAGTGATATGAACCCACTGGTAAACATTAACCAAGCGCTGCTGGCACAGCAGCACAAAATGTTTGTAAAAAAGAAGAGAAGTCGCTTCAGATCAGATGGCTCTGGCGGAGCAGCGGCTCTAAACACATATAGAAGTGTAGACGCTGGGGCCCACTAACCTGGCAAATTCAACAACAGCAGTAAATCACTGGTCACGGCGCTTCCTGAGGTGGAGTTAAGATTCCTACTCATAGTTTCAGTTCACACTTTGAAAAAAAGACTTACACCCCTGATGACTATGGAGGATAAAAAGTGCCAAAATTAAATAATTAAATGTGTCAATAATTAATTAATTGTCGAATTAAATAAATAAATGTCATTAATTAATTAAAACCACGTCACTAATATAAAGTGCCACAATTAAATAAATAAATATCTAATAAATAGTTATCTAACACCTGATTGGTCATCCTGCACATTAAGGCGAAGCAAATCGATTACAGACTCGATTCGCGTTAACCCCGCCCCCTAACTTTGATGGGTGAGTTTGACAGATTCTTTAAATGGTTTCGGTGCGCTGCGACACAGGACCATGAAATAATTAAATGCACACTGAAATAATTATATTTTTTTTTATAAAATGAAGACTTATTTTATTAAATTAATGACACATTTATATATTTAATTCCTTATTTATTTAATGAATTCCACATTTAATTGTTTATCGCTATATTTATTTATTCAATTGTGGCACTTTATATTAGTGACGTTGTTTTAATTAATGAATGACACATTTAATTATTTATTTAATGCTGTATTTATTTAATTTTGGAACCAGTCTTCTGTCTGGAGCTGGGGAAACTATATTTTTCTAAAAAGGATGGACTTAATTTAAAGTATTTGATAATTATAAAGTCACAAACATTTTATTGTATATTTATTGAAATGGAAAACAACTTTACAAAAGTAGTATTCCATTTTTTTTTTTTACCAAGCTTCGCTGCTTTGAGGAATGTGAAAATGATCTGAACTTGTTAACCTGTTCCTCAGACTCATCCTAACTACTGGGTGAAACATCTGTGAGACGAGTTAAAGCGACGCTCAGACAGAAGTGGTACTTCCTTTTTATTGTTCTGCAACTGAGTCACAGGCAGGAGTTCAGAAAGAGGAAGACCAATGGAAACAGTTTGAGAGATATGAGAAATGAAGCCTTATTTACAGTCATGTTCTCAGAGGACTGTTATAAACCGACCCACTCTGGAAGAATTAGAGCTGACAAACCCTTAGAAGTCGGCAAAAACAGGAATTAAAACAGTCATCTGTGAGTCTCACTCACTTTACCATAAGGCACCATTGAAATCCATTAAAGCACAGACTTTTCATTCTATTTTCACTTTGTTTTCATTGTGTTTAACAAGTTGCAGCTAAGCAACAGGGGCTGCCATCTTGGAAATGTTTATTTTATACAAGATGTTTTAATTCATTCATTAATTTGGCTTAAATTCAAAATGTTTAAATATATTTTTTATAGAGGGGACATTTAAGATCCATATATTTCTGCTAATTTCACTTTAGATAAAGCTGAATAACTCTGTAACACAGCCTTTAAATTGCTAAAGAATTACGCTTGCACTTGTCACTAAACATATTTGGGCTATTGTCACACTTTTTTCAGCTTCTGCTTTACAACCCTTGGGTTTTGGGTTCAATGCTGTGTTTTATTCTCCATGGCAGCCCTGCTCAAGTAGAGTATAGTCCCTCATGGCGATATAGGCACATAATAATGAGGTTATACAGTACGCACAACATATCCAGTTACTTTCAAACTACTCAATCATTACAGAGACGAAAAACAAGGTTAGTTGGGGGGGAGGGGAAGTCCTGGAGTCAAAAAAAGCAATAGCTGCTATTTATGTTTGTTTTTACCTTGTAACAGTTTGAAATGAGGGTCAGTGCAGACCTTCAGTTGTAAAAAAAAAAGCATGGTAACAGAGCATTTTAGACTTGATTGTTCAACATGATACACAAAAAAAAGAATCCTAATGAAACAGGCTTTTTTATAAAAAAAAAGAAAAAAGAAACAGAGTCTTCATGGTTTGGAGTCAGGGTGTCCGTCCTTCCAGTAGTTCCTGTATGCTTCCTGGAACATGTTCTTGCAGGAGATTTTAGCTTTAAGTTTGGAGCAGATGAGGAAGGATCCCCCCATCTTCCTGTGGAGGGAGTAGGTTTCCTCCGGCGGCGGCGTGAGGCGCTCCCTCAGCATCACTGGGATGAGTCTGTGGATGCGCTCGGTGGTGCTCTGCTCCCCGAAATCGAAGGGCTGCTCGGAGTTGAAGGCCTCGCCGAGGATCATCACCGCGTCTACGTGGGCGTTCTCCATTGACTTTGTAAAAAAAAAAGAGCAGAGATGAGACTGATATTTCATGCAAGACATAGAAATGGAAAAAGACTCCAGCTATAAAACTCTGGCTTTCCATCAAAACTCTGTCCGTTTCAGTTAGCGCCGCATAAAGCTGCATCATTAACACCTCATACTGCCCTGTTGTAAATCCTGGAGGCCTCTGATTGGTCATTTCCTTTAAACTGGAGCCTCAAAGAACAGATGGCCCCCCTCACAGCCCCCAGGCCACATTCAGACTTGTGAAGCTCACAGATCTCTGGTGAGGGGTTTAGAGCAATAGGATAGTGGGGAACTTTTCAAAGGAACACAGAGAAAAGCTTTTATGAGGAAAGGACACTTGATGCACTCATGGATTAGTAAACAATCCTTTAAAAGGACGAAGTTCTCATTTTATTGGAAAGTGTGTAACAGCTCTATAAAGAATATCCTCCATGTTTACGTCTGCTCCAACCAGATGGTCACATTTGTGTCTTTTAGAATCTGACACAGACTGGTTTCCATATGATTAAAGGAAAGAGGTCTTGGCTCAAAGCAGAAGAAAAGCTACGGTCTGCTAAACCATCTCTGGTACATCTCTCTGTTTGTTTGTTTTTAAAGCACAGTGGTGTTTTCAGATGCATTTATTCATTTTTATTAGCTGAAGACATGAAAAGAGCAACAATCAGAGTATTTTACAACAAGCAGCTTGTAAAATTCTTATGGAAATAATCACTTGCTCTGCTATGATTACAATGTAGTTTAATAAAGTTTTAAATGAGGTGACCAGATACAGAACAAGTCAGGTTTTAAGGCGAAAGTAAAATGGACTATGGATAAAACTAAGGTTTGATTTAAAATACTATTCATTCATTAAAAAAGTCAACAGGTTTGGTTCCAATGCTGATATAATTCAGTTTAAAGGAATAGTACACCCAAAACATGATTAGCCTTCATTTTCTACTCACCCCCATGCTGAACAACACTCTGGAGTACTTTTTTGATATCTCAAATGCATCTGGAGATCTGGGAGGCTTCTTGCTGTCTGCTGACATTCAAATAATGAAGGTCTATGACGCCCGAGGCAGAAAGGTCCATAAAAGTCCACAAAACACGTGTCAATATTCCACCATACTGCTCGTCCAATGTATTCCAAGTGTCCTGAGTGGGTAGCGTCCATAATTTACTCGAAACGAAGTCATTTAGAACGTTTTAGAGCATAAACAGTAGTGTATAGGATTTCCTGAAAGCGCGCACATGCGCGTTCACGAGTCTACGGAAGCCGGCAGACCAAACCAGATGAAAGTGCGCATTCAGCTCGGCAAAGAACTCATGCTCTTCCTCAACACTGAAGTCCTCAGACATTTTTCTTTCGTTGTTTCTTTCTTTGCACAGGTAAACAGCACATTTCTTCTTCTACGCTTGCATTATCTGCAGAGCAGACGCTGAATGCGCACTTTCATCTGGTTTGGTCTGCCGGCTTCCGTAGCGTCGTGAACGCGCATGTGCGCGCTTTCAGGAAATCCTATACACTACTGTTTATGCTCTAAAAACATTCTAAATGACTTCGTTTCGAGTAAATTCTGGACGCTACCCACTCAGGACACTTGGAATACATTGGACGAGCAGTATGGAGGAATATTGACACGTTTTTTGTGGACTTTTATGGACCTTTCTGCCTCGGGCGCCATAGACCTCCATTATTTGAATGTCAGCAGACAGCAAGAAGCCTCCCAGATCTCCAGATGCATTTGAGATATCAAAAAAGTACTCCAGAGTGTTGTTCAGCATGGGGGTGAGTAGAAAATTAAGGCTAATCATGTTTTGGGTGTACTATTCCTTTAAGAGATTAATGTCTGAACTGTTGTTTCAGACTGAGTGGTTTCAGGATAGGCGCTTTCCAAAGCAGTCTAACTCCAACTCCACATCGAAACAAACGTAAAACATCTGCACCAAAACTCAGTAGCTTCAAAGTGTAGTTCACAAACACCCAACATTTCCATCCTGCTCTACGTGTAACACCTACCGTACCTTCCTGGATATAAAGCGCCACTCACTATAAGCCGTACGCACAAAGGTTTCTGAAAAACTGGAAACGTACATTTATGATGAGCATCGGGCTATAAGCAGCTGATATCTACTGAACTGTTCTCCACCAATCCTGTAGGGGGAGCTCTTCACATCACACCTAGAGTAGAGATGAAGAAGAATGCTAGCCCCTGTTAGCTTATTGGCTCGCAGCAGTAAGAGCCTCAGAAGATGAGGTTTAGCTCTTTATTTCAGTTCTACAGGAGTTGAGAAGTGTCTTCATTGGTTAGACAGCTTTAATGAAGCAACTTAATGTCCAAATGTGTGAATTTGGGACATTTATTCACCGCCGTGCCTGCTGCTAGCATGTGCTTGTGCTAAATGGAAATTAGCCCCTTCACTTTTGACTGGCGGTTAGGAAAAATCCACAGAAAAGCCGCGCCTTCATATAAGCCACATGCGGCTAAAAAAAAGCAGCGTCCTATAGAGTGGAGAATAAGGTTTTCACTCAGCTTTGACGTTATCGAGCCTGAAAGCGTAACATTTGGACATCAGATATTTAGTTCCTGCATGAAGGACTGCTACACATTAGAGTTTCAACATTTACCGGTTTTACAGTATTCTACTGTTCTGATGCACTTAATCATGTTTCAGTCGTCCTTAAAACAGGATCATCAAAAATCACAAAGTAGAGTTAAAATAACTTGCTATGGTTAATGAGTAGGGTTGCTAACCGTCCCTTGAAAAACAGAGTCGTTCCATATTTATAAATAGAAGTACCTATTTTGCATTTAGTGGAAAAGGATAATTGAGAAAGCTAATGGAAAATGAAGAACAAGGGCACGTTGGATACAAAACTTACGGTAATCTTGTTCCCGGGCCCTGTCCTGTGTTGTGACCAATGAGCGGACAACATATATGTAACGATCCAGAATCCCCTCATCCCATTGGTCGAGCCAAGTGTCGCTCACGGAGAAGATAGTGAGAGACAACAGAGCAGCACGGGGGACGAACGGAGGAATTTAAATGCTGACGCTGCTTTACTCAGCTTTATGGCAAGCCAATTGGGCCAATAATCGTCCGTACGATAACGCGCAGTTCCAACCCGTATTTTACGCGAGTGCGCGTTTTTTACGTCACCGCGCATTCTGGCTGGAAACGCGCGGTGACGTAAAAAACGCGCTCGCTTAAAATACGGGTTGGAACTGCGCGTTATTGTACGGGCGATTATTGGCCCAATCGGCTTGCCATACAGCTTTACTCTGCAACACTCAAAGACAAACAAGTCGGCTATCGCTACATAATGTGGCACTGAACTCATTTTTTTTTTCTGTTTTACAACTGTAGCCTACAGTCATTGCATTTAAGGCACAAATATGTTTACAAGTTTGCTGTTGCATCGTTTATTTCTTGTTTTATATTCATTTTTACCGTTTGAAGTTAAGCAGGACAGGCTCATGTTTAAGATATCAATTTTATTCAGCAAAGTTTGTTATTTTGTATTAAAGTGAATTGCTGGATAATAATTTGTTTTCCATGTATTCATGTCACAGATATGCATTTAATTCAATGCAGATTTGAGTCAAATAGTTATGTCACACACACAAAGGGGGGCTAAAAAAAAATCACCACGCCAGGAGGGGTGAAGGCAATCAGGTCAGCTGGCACGCACATCAGGTTTTCTTTTTTTTTTAGGGAGTTGGCAACCCTACTAATGAGTCTACAAGATTCATGAGTAGTTCTTCTAAAATTAGTGACAAAACAATGAACCTTTTTACAAAATTCACATTTTTGTGAGATGTACCTGGATCTATGCACAGTTATCAGCTTCTGTTTGTTTACAAAAAAGGAAATGGATTTTTGAACAATAGCCAATACAAAATGTGGCCATGACTGTATGGCTAACAGTATTAAATTACCAACAGTTAAAACAGAGTATAATTAAAGATGAATAATGGCTGATCTATTTGGGCGTTTATTTTTTTCACCCATTCCTTCAGGTTTTTAAAAGTAAATGCGTAAAAACCTCAGAGCTCTTTATAATCTTCTCTAATCAAAACATAAAAATCAGAAATGGTCGAATCAGGGTATTTTGGAGATTCGTTTTTAGCATGGCACAGAAGACACTTTGGTTTGGTTTCGACCTTAAGCCTGGAGGTTCTGTTAACAATTATATTAAAATGACTGGAAGTAATTAGAACCAGATGAAGGAGCAAACTCCCTGTCAGAGTGATAGATCACCAAAAAACAAACCACGGGGCTACATCACCACAACCAGGAGGGCAGGATGCCTGGGGTTGGAACAAATCTGTTATCGGATTTTTTTTATAGTATATCACTAATTATTATAATTACAATGGCCAGACTGTTGCATTAAAAATCAGGAATCTAAAATGTTAAAATAAAATGCAAGCTCGAAAATTAAAGCTAATATTTCCAAAAATTCAGACAGCAGGAAGTTCAGTTGAGCAAAAAAAAAAAAAAAAAAAAGTTTCCTTTTTATGACTGAATACCCCACAACAAACCACCTATGGTAGATACATAGTCCGAACAATCCATTTATAGCCTCCTGCAGCTCAAAAAAGGCTCTTACCTTTGTCTCATATCCTGTGAGGAACTTCATCTCTCTGGATTTGAGCAACACTCCTTCTCGGTTCTGATCTGCAGCCGATTTAATGATCTGGTGTCAGGAAAACACAGAATAAACACAAATATAAACCTGGTTGTTTGAAAGAAAATAAACGCTTTGACTAAACACAGATTTGTAATAAATGTGACTCAATTAGCTGGACCTAAACCTGTTTGTTTTTTATTTTACAGCCTTGGAACTGCATCTAGTAGTGGCTATTTGAATGACTGATCTATTCAAAATCATTTTTATGTATTGGTTATGAATCATAAAGGAGAAATATGCCTGAAATTAAGCACAGAATGCAGAGATTAAACGCTCATTTTACAAAAATGTATCATTTGTCTATTTAAACAATTGGCAAAAGGTTAAAAGTCACAAATAATTGTTGAAGTATTTATTATTTTATATTCCATGTGCTTCAGTCCTATCTTGAAGCTCAAACTGACTGACATCTGATTGGCTGACTTGCACAGCAGTACAGGATCTGACCAATCAGCTGTTAGTCATGAATGAGTTCATTAGCAGGACAATAAAAAAAAATACAAAACATGAAGTTAATTTCTAAGAAATGATTTAGACATTTAATCAAGCAATTCTGTACTTTAAAGTAATTTATCTGGTCATTGAACATAACATATAGTTTTTTTTTTTAATAACTTAGCTTGAAATATTGAACCGATGTAAATTGCTGCCATTTATAAACTGAATAACTCTTTCCTGTCTATTAAAGATACAAAAGGTTGCAGGCGATAAAGAAAATATATTATGCAAATAACTAAGTCTTTACCCCCCCCCCCCCCAAAAAAACAAAAACAAAAAAAAACAGATAAAATGCAGCATTATACCAGAGAACAGAAACTAAAGGAATATTTTTTTGTATATAATAACTTGTTTGTCCGAATTAAATTAAATTAAAAAGTATCCACAGAGCAGTTTTTTTTAGTTGGGTTGAAGGAGGAGCTGCAGTGTTAGTAGGGATGCACGATATAATCGGCCCCCTATCGGTATCGGCCTTAAAACTGAATATCGGACATCGGCCACCCCACCGATATTTAACCCGATATTCGATCAGCTTCTGAGTTTCTAAAGTCTAAAAAAATAAAAATAAAAAAATACTTCTTCTTCTTCCTCAAAAACTTCTTTTTTACAGACTTAAAAACTTCTAAAGACGAGGGAAAAAATATTGATACATTAAAATATCCCAATATCTTCATATGCTGATATATTGCCATTTAAAAACACCATATCAATCTCTTTTACTAATGAAATATTGCTATATGTCATCGCTATGCTACGAAATCCCCCGAAAATTCATGAAATTTTGCCATAATTTTATATGTTGATATATTGACGCGGTATCGATCTATTTTACGAACAAAATCTCACAAAAATTTGCAAAATATCACGAGAGTTTGTAACAGAACGATGAAATTTCACGAGATTCTGAAAGTAAAATAGATCGATACCGCGTTTTTAAAAATCAATTTGATATCAGCATATAGAGCTGGGCGATATGGCGATATATATCGTGAGGACGAGAGAAACATGTCTATCGTAACCTAAATTATTATTATTACAGCTAATATACATTTTAATATAATTTGTTAATATAACATTTTGCGTTTTTGCTATGCAAACTCTAAGTGTATATAACGAAAAAAAAAAGATAATAAAAAGATAATGTGTAGAGAACGTGGTTTTGCGACACTACACCGCTTTACGTCACGCGGCTTTGCACCATACGTTTGCGACATTACTGACAGAGAGAGCCCGCGAAATTTCTTTCTGGCTTGAAAAAAAATGAATGATGGACACCCAAGAAGATGTTACCACAGCAGCGGTTACAGAGTCCGAAACGGTTGCCAGGTCACAGACACAACAAACACCACTTTTGCCCAAAAGGGGAGGCAGCTCGGTTGTTTGGTTATATTTCGGATTTCAGCCATCTGATAAAGAACAAACGCAGCCGATATGTAAACTGTGCAGCAAAGCCGTTCCAGCGGCTGATGCAAATACTTCCGGCCTCTCTTACCACCTGAAAAAAAATCATGAACAAGAACACGGGAAACTACAACCACTCCGATCAAAACAAACAAGGGATGAAAATACAGGAAGCACTGGAAAGAAATTCTCACAGCCGAAGCTTAAGGAAGCATTCGCCCAAGGATCACAATATGAGAAGACGTCTCAGCGACACAAGCAGATCACAGGTGCTATTTCACGCTATATCTGTAAAGGCATGGCCCCCGTTTACATAGTCGAGAAAGACAGCTTTCGGGACCTCGTCCGTACACTCGATCCCAGATAGAAAACAAGGTAAGTGAAAGACAAGAGAAAAACCTGGCCTTGGAATTTTATAAAATGTCAATAACAAACGAATATTAAATGATTAATTACTGCAGCGCAATAGCCAAGATTCTATACTGTTCACTGTCATGGCCGCAAATTGCATAACTGGTGTTCTTGGTTTGGGGAGATGATGGGTAAAAAATAGGCAATGAAAGATTTTTTTCAACCCTGTCCATCTGACGAACTATGAAAACATAAAATGCAACATCAGTTGTGGTATATCGTGATATATATCGTTATCGTGATATAAAATAATCCATATCGTGATATAGTTTTTTTTCCATATCGCCCAGCCCTATCAGCCTATGAAAATATATTTGAGTATATTATTTTTCAAAGTGTCAGAAATGGATAACAAAACTGCTATTTTCAATGACTACTTATTTTTGTCCAGCTTTAACATCGGTATCGATATCGGTTATCGGCTACATGAGTTTTAAAATATTGGCATATCGGATATCGGCCAAAATCCCAATATCGTGCATCCCTAAGTGTTAGTGTTGGTGCCCCCATCATCTGAGAAAACCATTCAACTCTAACAGACACATGGTTGTTCCTGTTTCACTTTCCAAACAGTGCAGCTTGTTCCTGAGGATTCAGACCCAAACAATGGAGTCTGCTGTCCACATGATTCACCAATTAAAGCAAGAAGAAAGTGTGATTCCTGAGGCTCTCTTTATCACCCCAGCAGAGTAATGCGTATCGAACATTTAATCCCAAATAAAAATGTTGAGACAAGGAGACAAACATGCAGAAGCGTCGAGAATAGGTTATTTATCAGGCAGTTTTTAAACAAACTAATCCACACTTCACTTTTTACAGTTGCAGATCAGGTTGATTATTGTCAAATTCAATGAATACAACAACATAAATCTTACCAAAGCACATTTTGTACAGGAGTGAGAGGTTATTTCAGGCTGCTGTGCTTTCTCTTCTGGAAGTAACTACAGGTGCTGGTCATAAAATTAGAATATCATGAAAAAGTAGATTGATTTCAGTAATTCCATTTAAAAAGTGAAACTTGTATATTATATTCATACATTACATACAAACTCATATATTTCAGATGTTTATTTTGTTTAATTTTGATGATTACAAATGACAACAAATGAAAATCTCAAATTCATCATATCAGAAAATTAGAATATTACTGAAGACCAATAAAAACAAAGGATTTATAGAAATGTTGGCCAACTGAAAAGTATGAACATGAAAAGTATGAGCATGTACAGCACTCAGTATTTAGTTGGGCCTCCTTTGGCCTGTATTACTGCAGCAATGCGGCGTGGCATGGAGTCGATCAGTCTGTGGCACTGCTCAGGTGTTATGATAGCCCAGGTTGCTCTAATAGTGGCTTTTAGCTCTTCTGAATTGTTGGGTCTGGTGTATTGCATCTTCTTCTTCACAATACCCCATAGATTTTCTATGGGGTTAAGGTCAGGAGAGTTTGCTGGCCAATTAAGAACAGGGATACCATGGTCCTTCAACCAGGTACTGGTAGCTTTGGCACTGTGTGCAGGTGCCAAGTCCTGTTGGAAAATGAAATCTGCATCTCCAAAAAGTTGGTCAGCTGCAGGAAGCATGAAGTGCTCTAAAACTTCCTGGTATGTGGCTGCGTTGACCCTGGACCTCAGAAAACACAATGGACCAACACCAGCAGATGACATGGCACCCCAAACCATCACTGACTGTGGAAACTTTACACTGGACTTCAAGCAACGTGGATGAAGTGCCTCTCTTCTTTTCCTCCAGACTCTGGGACCTTGATTTCCAAAGGAAATGCAAAATTTACTTTCATCAGAGAACATGACTTTGGACCACTCACCAGCAGTCCAGTCCTGTTTCTCTTTAGCTCAGGCAAGACGCTTCTGACGCTGTCTGTGGTTCAAGAGTGGCTTGACACAAGGAATGCGACAGCAGAAACCCATGTCTTTCATACGTCTGTGTGTGGTGGTTCTTGAAGCACTCACTCCAGCTGCAGTCCACTCTTTGTGAATCTCCCCCACATTTTTGAATGGGTTTTGTTTCACAATCCTCTCCAGGGTGCGGTTATCTCTCTTGCTTGTACACTTTTTTCGACCACATCTTTTCCTTCCCTTCGCCTCTCTATTAATGTGCTTGGACACTGAGCTCTGTGAACAGCCAGCCTCTTTAGCGATGACCTTTTGTGTCTTGCCCTCCTTGTGCAAGGTGTCGATGGTCGTCTTTTGGACAACTGTCAAGTCAGCAGTCTTCCCCATGATTGTGTAGCCTATAGAACTAGACTGAAAGACCATTTAAAGGCTTTTGCAGGTGGTTTGAGTTAATTAGCTGATTAGAGTGTGGCACCAGGGGCCATCAATTTTGAACCTTTTCACAATATTCTAATTTTCTGATATGATGAATTTGAGATTTTCATTTGTTGTCATTTGTAATCATCAAAATTAAACAAAATAAACATCTGAAATATATGAGTTTGTATGTAATGTATGAATATAATATACAAGTTTCACTTTTTAAATGGAATTACTGAAATCAATCTACTTTTTCATGATATTCTAATTTTATGACCAGCACCTGTATATTTTTGTTTTGCAGTAAATCATTTTAACCGTTTACCCACTTATTCAATAAATTTCTTCTGATTAGAATTTTAAAAAGTGTTCAGAAAAAGTCCTGATGTAAAGAAGAAAACTTTATATGCCCACAGCTACTTACCTCAATGTATGTGTCTGTGAATTTCTTGTCAAATCCACGCGACGCTCCGAAGTCCAGCAGCGCGACCTGAAAACACCACAAGCAGACAGCCAATCATCCCGGTGACACAGAGACGTCGCGAGTGTTTCTCCTCCAGTGCCAGTCGGGTTTAACCAACCTTATGAATTTGAGGATCATAGAAGAAGTTGGACCAGTTGGGATCGGTCTGCATGAATCTGAATTCAAACAGCTCCCTGAGGCACAGAATCAGAATCTGCTCACAGATCTGAGTGGAAACAAACAGTCAATATGAGATCAAATAGATACCATTACATGTCATAAAAAATCCTTCAATGGAATAGAGATGCAACAAGCTGCCCACAGATTTACCTAATTACCACCACCTAATTAGCTACTAAATGTTTAAACCAAGTTTACCATAATTTTCGGGCTATAAGCCGCAACTTCTCCATTTTTCAACCTTGTGGCTTATATAACAATGCGGCTTATCTATGGACTTTTACAGCTAACGGCCACTAAGGTAATATGGTACCTACATCTATAGATTTTACGATCCACCATGTAGACGTCGCATAGCAATGTGGAGGTCCTCTGGAAGCAGACTCCGAGAAAGACGGACATTCAGAGCGCAAGACAGTTTGTGTGACACCCTCATTATGGAAAACAAACATTGAAATGCATATGATGCAGCTTTTAAGTTAAAGGCAGTCAATTTGGCAGTAAACGAAGGAAATGGAACCGCAGCACGTAACCTTGGAATCAAGGAGTCAATGGTGAGACATTGGAGACGCCAGCAGGAAGAATTGTCTCAATTCAATTGTGTTGAAATGTTAATAAATAAGAGCTTCCCAAAAAAGTTGCCTCTTTCCCGACAATCCTCTCTGTGCACGAACCGTATGGTAATTAAACATAAAAAACCTGCGGCTTATAGTCCGGTGCGGCTTGTATATCTACAAATCATGCAATTTAGCTTCTGCTGCTTATATTCAGGTGCGGCTTATAGTGCAAAAATTACGGTAAATGCAGCTTTTCTGTAAACAGATACATCTGCCCTTCTAACCTAAAAACCAAGAAATGGAGAACAATATTTTCAGGTTGAACCTTTCCACCAAAAAGGTTCTCCTTCTTCTCCAGATCTGGAGTTAAAGTCACTCCTGAGCAGGTTAGTAAAAGCACTAGTTTGCTCATGGCTTATAACCTCATTATTATTAGTGTTAATAAATGTATTGTCTGATTGTCCTCTTTGATGAGTTCAGGTATAATACCTGCAAATACGCAGCCTAATATGACCACTGTAGCTTTTTTAACATATTTTTATCTAAAAAAAATCCTAAATGAGCTGATCTCTGATGCACAAGTAGCCAGAAAACCGGAGCTTCATACAGCATTTAGAGCAAGATTTATTATTAGAACTTGGAGATATTTAAAGACAGGCAGAGGTAAAGGACAGAGGCAGAAACTAAAGTTATGGATTCAGAGTGCAGATGTCACAGGTGATTTCAAAATGAACTGTGGGAATGTAGCAGATATTTAGCTTACTCTTATTCTAAATACTTCATGTAAAACTCTAACAGAAACAAAAATAAATGCTAACTTGTGGTTATATAGTGACTAAACATTCAAACTGACCTTCAAGGCAATGAGGCAATTTGGTTTAATGATTAAGGAAGCATTGCAGCTTTCACACTTCAACAGGACTCAGGGTTCGTACACCTTTTCCAAAGTCAAAATCAAGCACTTTTCAAGCACTTTCAAGATCCATTTTAAAACTTTTTCCAGTACCTTACACCACCGTAAATTACATACCAATACATAGTCAAAATTATTACTCAGATGATCAAAGAAAATGACTCTGCCATGGCGTAGTACTATAACCAACCAGAGGGTGTCGCAACTCAGTATTCTCAGCCGTAGAGTTATCAATGCTGTTTTAAGGTCTGGGCCTGGCAATGAATTAAAACTTCGTTTTTTTTTTTTTTTGTAACGTTGGCGAGGCGGTAGCGTGAGTTTGGCGCCAAGATAGTGCTGCGGGAAACACTGCAATACTAACATTACATTATCACACCGTACTCTCAGTCACTCAGTAACTTAGCCTGTGAATTCCTAGCTAGCAGTTACTGGCGTAAACAAATAGGCGCTAACGTTAACGTGTACTAGGCTACTTCAGTTGGCTTACTTAAAAAGTCTATGGCCGTTTCTCAATATGCGTTCTTGAGCGTTCTCGTGTGCTCGTGTACTCGTGACACGTCATCAGCCTCAGCCCGAGTACCGTTCCAATTCTCGAGAACGCCAGATCGAGAACGCATCAAATCCCCGGATGTTGTTCTCGCCCCGCCCTCTTTATCGAGCATGCATCAGAGCAGACTCAGACATCAGATCAAGTCGGATCTTCCTGCGTTCTCGCCAAGAACGGACTTGAAGAGAACGCGAGTACGTACTCGTGTTCCCGTGAATTGAGAAACGGCCTATGACTTACCCTTCATGTGACTCGACAGCGCAGACTCGCCCATTGTGAAAAGCTGCACATCTTTTTTGCACACTTTACAAGAGGCAACTGGTGGGGTTTGTCCCCGTTTAATCCATAATTTGTATTTTTCATCTTCCAGCCAACGTTCATTGAAACGACAACCTCCCGGCATGGTGCAGTAGTGGTTTCATGGGGGCGGAGTCACACATGGAAATAGACTGGCCGATCGCAGTCACACATAAGTGAGCAGGTTTCATTTTCAGGCTCCAACATTTTATTTATCCACTTAGACCCCGTCCACACGAAGCCAAACCCTGGCCTAAACGCACAAAGTTTTCACCAAACCAGCCTCTCATCCATACGAAGCCGGCGTTTCGGGGGTCTGTAAACGATCTTTTTTTATTAAGCCTTCAGAGTGGGAAGATTTTGAAACGCCGTTTTCGCGTTTCCATCTTTAAGCTCTAACCGCATTTTTTTTCTTACACGCATGCGTCATAGCGTCGCCTCTAAACACGCATGCGCGACACAGTATCACAACAACAATGGCGCCGTACTGTGTTGAATGGTTGCTGCTAATGCTACTCACCCTGCTGTCGGGCTTACAACAGAATCTTCTTCTTCTGGAATATCTCCAGGAAGAACAGAGCAATATCGACCACATAGTTCAGCACCTGAATTTGACTGAACCACGAAAATGGACCCGCAGGGCAACCATGTATAAATATTAGTGCGCATGCCCACATTTCGTCGCCTATTTTTGCTTTGGCACCACAGCGCCACTTACAGGCCCGGCATAGATTTTTCCGCGTTTTCATGCATTCGTGTGGTCGGTCACATTTATTTTACGTCTCCTTCTTTACGACAAACGTTCTGGAAAATATCAGCGTTTCGTGTTCGTTTTGACTTCGTGTGGACGGGGCCTTAATAAACACACGATTCAGTTAGATAGGTATTTGTTGCGAAACAAATAGCTACAATTTCAAGCATTTTCAAGCATTTCATCCAAAATATAAGCACTTTTCAAACCTTGAAAACACAACGTCAAAATGCAAGCATTTTCAAGGATTTCCAGCACCCGTACGAACCCTGAGGACTCTAATGATGGCGCGTTGCAGGGTTGGACCGTGCAGAGTTCAGCATACCTCGTTCCTGAGCTCCTGAGAAAGGTCCGTAGCCTTGTCCAGAGGGAAACCAGACACCAGCGTTGTGGTGAGGACACGCTCATTGCTGAGCTCGTCGATAACGTCGGGCACATAGAAGAAGGGGTGATCCTTCAGCAGCTGCCTGCCACATAGATAAGCACATTAGATATCCTGAAGATTTGGCGAATAATCATGAATGCTTTAGATTTTAAAGGATTATATTGGTGTCACTGAAGGACTGTTTGTGGACGACACTCATCTGAAGTGCTGTTTTACTGTGAAACAATCGAATCACAGTCCAGCACTGGTTCAACTGAAAGCTCTGCTGTAATCTGCACAAACTCTCCAGGGAGGTTTCCTTCTATTCAGAGCTAAATGCCTCAGTGTTAACACTCATCCACTGACGCTAAGCAGGTTCTCTGGTCTGAAACTTGAGCACAAACTGCATTTGTGCAATAAAGCCTAGTGAAAAAACCCAGACTAGAGCTGCAGATTTAAATTATTTTAGTGACTGATTAATCTATAATTTACCAATTATGTTGTTCATTTAATCTAAAAATGAATTATTTTAGTAGGTTAAAATTTCTAAATGGATAAAACTGTTTGAAATAAAAAAAAAACATTTATTGTAAACTTTAAATTAATTGTAAACAGCCAAAATATACAATACATGTACATATGAGTAGGTTTATCTATAAAATGAAAACTTTTAACCTTAGAGGTAAAAAGTTGATGTTTTCTTAATCTTAATTACCATTTTTTCTTCCAGCAAATAGCATTTGGAAGATTTAGAGTCTGTGTTCCTTTAATGTAGAGCAGAGGTAACCAATTAAAAACCAGCAGTGTCCGAATAAAGAAAATCACCAACCAGTAAAGGTCCGGAGACATTTTTAGTTATAATCCATTACTTTAAACAGAATTTAACACTGAAATAAAATGAGGTTTTAATGCATCCATGTTATACATTGACTTTTTAAATAAAATAAAAAATATTGAATGGAGACTAAGCCATTCTCAAGCACATATCAAGGTGCTCATTTTGAGCCTGGATCCAGATTTATTGTTGATTCTGTTCATGGTGGAGAATCCTGCTTCACAGCAGCAGGTTGAGCCAAACATCCTCTAAATGTGCAGGGTCATCTTTGAGCACGCCATTTCACTTTTCTTTCACCAGTTCACCGCAGTTCTTCCAGCAGTCCACACTTTCTCTGCTCTCTTTTTCTCATGGTCTTCTCCTTCTTTCCCATCGCCCGACTTGCCACAGGTTTGCCTGCTGTGTCTAAAAGTAGCAGCAGCAGCAACCCAGACTGACAGCTCATTGGCTCATTTGGATCACGTGCAGCCTGGAGCCGGACGCTCCACAGGGCTTTACCGTATGAACAGGAGAAGAGGAGCAAGTGCAGTTAGACACTCGTCGGACAACATGCGATAATTTATAAATGCTTTTAATCTGGTTGGGTCCGGATTAGCCAGCAAGTGGGTCCGGATCCGGACCCTGGTTCGCTAATCTGTGACCTCTGCTCTAGAGATTCGATTACCAAATTAATTATCATTTTTTTAAATAATTGATAAATCAAGATTAACCCAATGAATTGCTTCAGCTCTAACTCAGACATTTGTGTCTGCCCACAACTATTGGTTACCTGATTGAAGTTGGCCCCCCCACCTTCTTCAAATTACACAAAATTAGTGTCAAACGTTTGTGCTATGTTTGTGCAGCAAAAATTTTCGTTTGTGCCGCTATCATTTTAAAGATATAAAGAGATGTTTCTAGAGGTCATCAAAGGTCAACCCCCCCCCACACTTTCTTCAAATCTTCAAATCCAAAGCAGCACAAATGAAATTTTTTGCTGCAGAAAAGGAGCTGAGTTAATTGACACCTATTTCATCTGATTTAAATAAGGTGGGGGGGCTGGTTGACCTTTGATGACCTCTAGAAATAATTCTATATATCTTTAAAATGATAGCGGCACAAACGAAAATTTTGCTGCACAAACCAGCACAAACATTTGACACCAATTTTGTCTGATTTGAAGAAGGCAACTTCACTCAGGTCTATTGGTTGGACTTTCAAAAGGACAATTTGTGGTTTTGCAGGTGAAGATTCTCAGTCATCCAGGTTCATAGTCATTCCAAAAAAAGTAAAAAAAAAAAAAACCACTGGACTTTGTTTCTGGGTTTTAAGACGTTTCGCTTCCTATCCTGGAGGCTTTTTCAATTTAAAACTTTATTCGTTCAGAATCAAGATACTTTATTGAGCTTGCTTCACCTTTATAATAGTTTTATTACTTTAAGTTTTATTTTGGTGAGGATAATAAAAATATCTTATCATCCTGAGATAACAAGATCCTGATCTTATGCAAATATATAAATGCTTTTGCTGTAAATAAAATGATTTAAAATTGATTGACAACTGGACCATAAGCATAAAAATTAAGGACTTACTGAAATTTTCTGGCACAGTTTGCCTCCCTTATGTAATCGCACTCCCAAGCCAGCTCTCGACTCATGACCTCAATGAGATGCTCAGGAAACAACCCTGTGAAAAGAACCCACACAGACACACACAGGCGTTATCAGCCGGGAATGACTTCACACAATAGGAGCCGTTAGCATACAGATGATAAAAACCCTTCAACAATGTTACCATCAGGCAGAGCGTTGCTCAAGCTCAGAGCAGTCATGATGTTATTCACGTCACTCTTGATACTCTTTGCAATTCCAGGGTACTGGTGGAACATTTGGGCATCAGTTTGCAGAGTTATATCAAAATGTAACGCTTTATACATGTGCAGCCACCAGGCTCACCTGAATCTTCATGGCCACCTCTCTGCCGTCCTTCAGTCTCCCAAAGTGCACCTGACCGATGGAGGCGGCTGCAAACGGCTTCTCTTCAAAGTACTCAAGACTGTCTCTCCAGTTTGGGCCCAGATCATTGGTGATTGTTTTCTGGAGGTACATAAGGATGGAACAAAAATCTGTAGAAACGACTGGTAGCCAAATCATTTCCATGTACTGTTATTTAAGATAAATGTACCATCATCTGTTTGGTGGGCATGAAGTCTGCACTCTGTCGGACACGCTCGAAGATCTTAGCCAGCTGAGGGTTGAGAAAAGCATCATCTGAAGGAGAAAACCAGAAAACAGCTAAATGTAACCTTGATAATCATGAAGATAATAGGTTTATATAAACCGTTTTCTAACCGTGTGTTCTTGTCATTTTGTTTTTGGTACCGAGTGTTTCCAAAAAGACTAAACTCAGTCATCTACACTCACCGGCCACTTTATTAGGTACACCTGTCCAACTGCTCGTTAACACTTAATTTCTAAGCAGCCAATCACATGGCGGCAACTCAGTGCATTTAGGCATGTAGACATGGTCAAGACAATCTCCTGCAGTTCAAACCGAGCATCAGTATGGGGAAGAAAGGTGATCTGAGTGACTTTGAACGTGGCATGATTGTTGGTGCCAGAAGGGCTGGTCTGAGTATTTCAGAAACTGCTGATCTACTGGGATTTTCACGCACAACCATCTCTAGGGTTTACAGAGAATGGTCCGAAAAAGAAAAAACATCCAGTGAGCGGCAGTTCTGTGGGCGGAAATGCCTTGTTGATGCCAGAGGTCAGAGGAGAATGGCCAGACTGGTTGGAGCTGATAGAAGGGCAACAGTGACTCAAATAACCACCCGTTACAACCAAGGTGGGCAGAAGAGCATCTCTGAACGCACAGTATGATGAACTTTGAGGCAGATGGGCTACAGCAGCAGAACACCACACCGGGTGCCACTCCTTTCAGCTAAGAACAGGAAACTGAGGCTACAATTTGCACAAGCTCATCGAAATTGGACAATAGAACATTGGAAAAACGTTGCCTGGTCTGATGAGTCTCGATTTCTGCTGCGACATTCGGATGGTAGGGTCAGAATTTGGCGTCTACAACATGAAAGCATGGATCCATCCTGCCTTGTATCAACGGTTCAGGCTGGTGGTGGTGGTGTCATGGTGTGGGGAATATTTTCTTGGCACTCTTTGGGCCCCTTGGTACCAATTGAGCATCGTTGCAACGCCACAGCCTACCTGAGTATTGTTGCTAACCATGTCCATCCCTTTATGACCACAATGTACCCAACTTCTGATGGCTACTTTCAGCAGGATAATGCGCCATGTCATAAAGCTGGAATCATCTCAGACTGGTTTCTTGAACATGACAATGAGTTCACTGTACTCAAATGGCCTCCACAGTCACCAGATCTCAATCCAATAGAGCATCTTTGGGATGTGGTGGAACGGGAGATTCGCATCATGGATGTGCAGCCGACAAATCTGCAGCAACTGTGTGATGCCATCATGTCAATATGGACCAAACTCCCTGAGGAATGCTTCCAGCACCTTGTTGAATCTATGCCACCAAGAATTGAGGCAGTTCTGAAGGCAAAAGGGGGTCCAACCCGTTACTAGCATGGTGTACCTAATAAAGTGGCCGGTGAGTGTATATACCTTATAAAAATACAACCATGTGATATATACACATTTTATTTGTCTCGTTAAAAAACAAGAACCTAAATTTAAGTAAAGCTAACAGAAACATTAATTAGTGAAAAAAAATACTTGAGCCTTTAGTGGCTAAAAGCTAAAGGTAGATAGTGCTGTATTTAGCTTTCTAAGTCAAATTTTTAACCTATTAGCAATTGTCCATCAATTTAAAATCACATATTTCTACCCACATTCAGTTTTACACAGAAATATCACATTAAATAAGAATTTAATGTAAACAGTAGAAAAACGTCTCTGGTTTTAGCAAACAGCAACATAGCAGCTATTAGTTACGTGTTGCCTTAGCCCTTTGTGGCTAAAAGCTAAAGCTACTGCTGTATTTAGCTTATTTTATGTTTAAAAAAAAAAAAAAAGCATACTTCTATCTGAAATTAATTTTACAACAGAATTTAATATTTATTAAACATTTATTGTTTACAGCAGGAAAAAAAAAACTTTTGTCCAAGCTAACAAAAACATAATAGCTTTTAGCTTTAGCTATATAAAGCTTCTGTATGGATTCAAATGCAGGGCTGTCAACTCTCACCCATTGGGAGTGAGACTCTCACTCCATATTCCCAATTAAAACTCCACCATATTTTACTTATTTTTGTATAAAATACCGTTAAGTGTAAGTTCCTCATTAGTCGTGGCGTCTAGCTTATCCAAAACCTGAGTAACTTGTGCATAACTTCTGTGTAACTTCTCTAGAAAACATATCAAGGTATCTGCCGTGTTCCAGACGAGCGCTGAACGTGTTATTAACTTCCAGCTACTGTATAATGGCGTATTGGCAGCGTTTTGGTATAAAGGGGGTTCACAGGAGGAAACCGTCAGTTCTCCTCCAGACTTCATCACCATCATAGGGTGAGCCAGAAGGTGAGGGTGATGGATCCTCCATGCGTTTACGCCCAACAAACTTCCTAGCAAACATGATGCTGAATCTGCTGCAAACCTTTCTTTCTGTCCATTCGCTTATTATTTTTTTTTTGGCAGGCAGTAAACAGCAGCTAGGTTAACCCCCCAATCAAAGAAATCTTTGAATGCAGTTATGGCACCTCTGATGCATGCGCGTCATTTTATGGGCATTACGCTGCTGTGCGTTATGCAGAACTTAGGCTGTCGTTACGAACACTGTGTATATGCCCAAAAATGAAAAAATACATAGAAAGTTAAGCATATGCCAGCATTTTTGCAGGCTAAATCGTCAATTTGTGACAGGGGCTTTATGAGTAAATGATTAAAAAATGGGGTAAGCAAAGAAGCAGAAAGCCTATAAAAAATATAGTATTCTGTGGAACCTGTCGTAAGTCTTTGAGCTGAAACAGAGCGTGTTAAGGTCGTGTCGGCTCACCTGATGTGGTTTATAGCCTCATTACTTCAGCTGGTTACATGGAGAACAAATCCACAAACAAGTCGACACAGCCACCCTACAAAATGCTGTAGGACTTTAATTTAATTTTCAATTAAAGAAAGTTTAGAGAAACTACAGAAGCAGAAATATACTAAAAAACAAAAGAAGTTTAACATTCATATACTTTTTTTACAAGATAAATTACCGCTGAAAGTCACAACGTAAACGGCTCTGTGTTGGTTCTACAGGCTATAACCTGAACATAACAAAATGGCGGATTCAGGAATCCCTTTCAGAACACGAGTTGCTGAATGTGGGTTTAGCAGAGCAGGAGTTGTCTTACAGAAAACAGGGGATTTATGTTAAAGAAAACAAACGCTTCACTCAGTGAGCTCACATGACAGACACTTGACAGCAGCACGGCGGCAAAAAAAAACACAGTAATGCAAGCGTGCCGCGTCAAGCCCGCAGACCTGAGACTCGGTTTAAACTGCTGCCTACAATAGCTAACAGCTTGAGCGGAATGGCACTCTGTCTGCTCAGCCTGAGGGTTATTTTCAGCACTGATGAAGGAATCCTGCATGTTGGTTAGAGAAAATGAGTCTGCGACAGACTGAGTGAAGCTTTATTTAAACACAATTCAATATGCATTTTGTGAGTTTTATAGAAAATGTATTTAGGTAAAAGTTTTTTTTTAGTCCCACCTTGAATGCTGAGCATTTGGCCGAGTTTTAAAGCTGCTCCGCGAACTTTGCAAAGCGTCCGAACGATTCTTTCAGCGTTCGCTTCAGAGAGGAAGGGGTTGGAATCCAGGACGGCCTTTTTGTTACCTTTGGAAAATAAATATAAACATAGAAATCAGATCCAAAAAACTAAGGTATCAGAAAGTATTAGTTAGTTTGACTGATCATTGCAGCTGGACCTGATGATGCATTAAACAACATGGACATTCATTACTGCCAAAGTCAAGTGAAGGACTTTTATGTGCTTTTATGTTTATTAAGCTGCTCTCAATGGTCACTTTCTTAGGTAATCTGACAGATTTTTATTTGCCAGATTCTTTCTAAGGCTGGCTTAAAAATCTAATATCCAAAAGTTTTTTTCCTACTAAATCTGATAGAGCAAATTTTTTTCTCACTTAATTTTCATTATAAAAATGACAGACACACTGTTTTGAAAAACTAGCTCCGTTTTCATGTATCTCCTCTAGGAGTTTACCTTAATTTAAAGCCAAATAAAATTGAGGCTTGTAAAATAATCACGTTTCACAGCAAACAATGAAAATAAGACAAACTGTGTCCAGCTGGTGTTTTCACACAGTGAGTAAAATTACCGTATACTAGTGCACATCTAACAACAAAAACTGATTATCTGATGTCAGTCTGTGGTACGGAAGCCCAAGAGGTGAATTCCTACAAAAAATCCTGACTTTACGAAAATGTAATCTTCATTAAAAAAACCTTTATTAATTGATTTTATAGATTAAACACCCAGCAATAGTTCTTTCCAGTCTTTCAACACCATAAACACGTTTCGTCTGAAAGGAAGTAATTACATCTTGGAGCGGCCTATCAATGACTCATACTTGATTCCTATGAGTGAATTTGTGGAGGGAACTAAAGATTAGGGTGATGGCAAAGAGGCATTTTCAATGTGTAGCTCAACAACAGAGAAAAAATGCTAAAAGCTGGTGAGAAAAATTAAGATTTTTTTCACATTCCGGTTGTTCTTCATTCAATGGTTTAGCAAAAACTGTAGAGTTTGGGATTTAGGGACGGTAAAAAAAAAAAAAACTTTTTAGAATTGTTTTATTTCTTAATAAATTAAGAAAATCCTCCACATCTTGTTGCTTTTTCTATGTCTGCTTCTGTTTCCTTGAACCCCAGTGGGCCTCAGCAGATGGCCGCTCACACTGAGCCTGGTTCTGCTGGAGGTTTCTTCCTGTTCAAAGGGAGTTTTTCCTCTCCACTGTCGCTACAAGCATGCTTAGTGTGAGGGATTGTATTTGAGTCAATGAGTCGATGCAATCAACTGGTTTTCCTTAAATTAAAAACTTTGAATCAATCTGACTGGATGATCTGGTTGAACTGGAAAGTGCCTTGAGATGACTTGTGTTGTGAATTGGCGCTATAGAAATAAACTGAATTAAATAATTTTTTCCCCAGTTCATCCTTATGTGCTTGTTTGGGTCCAGCTATTATATGAACTCCCACCTTAAAACACCGAAAAAATAAAAATATCTGATAAAACGGCAGCAAATGCATGAGCAGCATTTCTAAACACGTCTTACTTTCTACACAGACTAAAGTCCATCGCTCCGTCCAAGTCTTAGCCCCTTATCTAAACTGGTGCTGCTCAGTGATAACCAAACTCAAACAAGGTTCTTGACGACTCAGATACTGGATGAAATCTTCTCTGACATCAGCAGCAGACGTACATAAACACACAGCCCTTCACTTCCTGCTACCTTGCTGTTTGAGTTTCAGACTCTTCTTAGCCATATCTGCAATGGCTCCAATCCCGAGGCCAACTGCCAGACCTGCAGAGAGAAAATGACAGAAGAATAATTAAAGGTGAGGCTCACTGAGAATAGATCAGCAGCCTGGAAATTCTAAGGTTTGAGTTGGCTTTTGATGACCGCAGCAAGAAAAAAGGGAGTTGACGACAGCCATGTGCTGCAGAAGATGGGATCTCATTACTAAGAGTAACTCAGAGACTTTCCAACACTGGGTGGAGTTAACTGAGGCTGAATGTGGAGGAAAAAACTGATACACATTCTGGCAACTTGTTTTAAAATCAGCTGGATTCCTGACACGTCCAGGAAACTTTTCCTCAGCATCTGATACTCTGAACTTTCCTTCTAGTGAGGGAACAAGTCAGCACATGTGGAAAACTGCTGACTAAGATCATGATCCCCCATAACCTGTTCTAAAAGAAAAGTTCACGTCTGCCACACAAAAAGCACGGAAATAAAAATGCTGTGGTTTCCAGTGCCTCTAAAGTGGATGTTTTTTTTCTTTCTTTTTCATTCTTTTATAGTATTACTCAAACCAAGCCTTAGTCGTGTGCTGCAGACCAACTTGTTCATCTCCCATGAGCCTTTGCGGCTGTGGAGGAAGTGCCAGCCCTGCTAAACTCGTTTGCACAACCTACTTACCCAAACTAGTTTTTTTTTTTTTTTTTGCAGAAACAGTTGTCAGCTAATGAAATGTCAGAGTCAGTAAGGATTATTATGATGATCTTGATTTTAAAAACCAACAAAAAAAGGATGTTTTTGGATCATTTAACTTAAAAAGTATAAATGGAATGTTTTGTTATCAAATTACAACAACCTTTGAATAATTTGCAGGTTTAAAAAATAAAACAAACATCCTTTGCTTTGAAAGTGAGGCGTGGATCTGAGCCAAACGCAGTGAGCCGGAGCAGAAACGGTTTTTTATTAAGATTCTCCGCCTGCCGGCTCAGGGTCTCATTCTCTGCACCCTGCAGCTGCCGGCTGATCTTACACCGGCTAAATGGCACATTCTTTGGAACAACTGCGGCTAAAAGACACCGGTGATAGGGGCAGGCCAGTAATGTGTTTCCACCTCCCTGTGAGCTACATTAGCAATGCGTCAGTGTAGGAAAAAGTAAGTGGAAATGCACCAAGGAGTCAGCCGGTTACTGGAACCGACCTTCAGACTGAACACAAACTCCACCTCCACTGAGTCTCTGCAAGTACGGCCTGTCATTACCCGATCCGTACCGGAAGCACGATCCGTACCATTAGCTCATTTGCGCGTGCGCAAACAGAATAACTTCCGGTGGAAATATTTCCGTTTTCTTACTTTTTTATTCTTTTGTATTTTTTTAGAGGCATGGGTTTCTTTTTGTATATCTTTGTATTTTCGTCAATATTGCATTTTCTAAAAATAAAAAAACAGAAATACATAAAAAAGCAAATATACGTGACACAGCGTATATATTTAAATTTGTTTAAATATTTTATTTACTCTGTACTTAACTATGCACTCCAGCAGTACTGATCCCACAATGGATTAATTTGCTACCTTTCGTGACCTGCAGTTTTTCATTGATAAGGGAACATTTCCCGAAAATTTTGATTTTTATTCCAGAAAAAATGACGTCAAGCAATACAATGGATTGAATTTAAAAAGCATCCATTTCTTCCAGAAAATTCTTCAATACTATCTTTACGATGTAGTTTAGTATTCTTTAATTATTTAAGGATATAAATAAAGTTTTTTCAATACCGTAATTACATTATTTTTTGGCGACCCGGAAGTTATTCTGTTCGCGCGGGCGCAAATGAGCTGATGGTACGGATCGTGCTACCGGTACGGATCGGGTAGCGACACGGCCTCTCCATCCAGAACTTTTCAGGATGTCTTTACTAACATTTCATTTAAATAACTCGTATTTATTTATTTTTACCAAATAAACAGAATAAGTTAACTTGACATGCAAAATGGTATCCGCTTACATTTAACTTATTTTATAAAATAAGCAACTTTCTCAACTTAAGCTGGCTTTTATTTTAGAACTTTTCTATGTATGTGACATCGTACAGCCTTTACATCTGCACCTAATTAAAATCTCAGACTTTAAGCTCAACCTTTAAAGATAAACAAAGTGGTGATGAAAAAAATATGAATGTTTAAATTTAATTTTCCAGCTGAAGTGACAAAAAGCTAACCTGACTCCGCCCGATGGATTTGCTCCACATATCCATTCGGAAACCTTCCGTAGAATATACTGGTAAATACTGGTTAGCTGATTGGCCTATGTTGGTGATAGACGGGCCAAATAAACCAATCAGATCAACGAAGCATATGACGTACTAACAGAGCGACGACGAAGAGGAGCCAATTGATAGATCAAACTCTTGCCGAAACCAGTCGGGAGAAGAGCAAAAACATCTTTTCCTCTGAGAAAAGCCTCCAGAGCAGTGTTTTGCTCTTCTTTCAGTGAAGAAATACTCTGTAATTCCGATAAAACTTGCTCGATAGCCACGCTAACGCTAGTTTCTTCGGCTGAAGCCGCCATGTTCTTTAGACTGAACTGTCGCACTTCTCGTTGCGTCACACCTCAACCCGCCTCAAAGCCAACGCTGATTGGACGTTCGTTTGGTGAACGGCTCCAAATTTTCTTCAACGGAGAGTCTCCAGACTGATTAGCGAGTGAAACCTTGAAAGCTCGCGAGATCAGGATGGTCTCACGAGGCTAACAATAAGCCACCTTCAGTTAAGGAGGTTGCTTTGAAAGAAAGGTTTAGAGGTTCCTGCAGGATTGTTTGCTATCCTGCATAGGGATGCACGATATAATCGGCCCCCTATCGGTATCGGCCTTAAAACTGAATATCGGACATCGGCCCCCCCACCGATATTTAACCCGATATTTGATCAGCTTCTGAGTTTCTAAAGTCTAAAAAAACTACTTCTTCTTCCTCAAAAACTTCTTTTTTACAGACTTAAAAACTTCTAAAGACGAGGGAAAAATATTGATACATTAAAATATCCCAATATCTTCATATGCTGATATATTGCCATTTAAAAACACCATATCAATCTCTTTTACTAATGAAATATTGCTATATGTCATCGTTATGCTACGAAATCCCCCGAAAATTCACAAAATGTTGCCATATTTTTATATGTTGATATATTGACGCGGTATCGATCTATTTTACTAACAAAATCTCACAAGAATTTGCAAAATATCACGAGAGTTTGTAACAGAACGATGAAATTTCACGAGATTTTGAAAGTAAAATAGATCGATACCGCGTTTTTAAAAATGAATTTGATATCAGCATATGAAAATATATTTGAGTATATTATTTTTCAAAGTGTCAGAAATGGATAACAGAACTGCTATTTTCAATGACTACTTATTTTTGTCCAGCTTTAACATCGGTATCGATATCGGTTATCGGCTACATGAGTTTTAAAATATCGGCATATCGGATATCGGCCAAAATCCCAATATCGTGCATCCCTAATCCTGCACCTTGGGCTCCAGCTGAAGTGTAAATACGCTCATATTGCTGACACACACATGCATCATAGAGCAAATAGAGGCAGAAATCCACTTAAGAAAAAAACAGGGCACATAGAGAAAGAAACCTCTCTAAATCTATTCAAAAATATGGTATAAAAATATTTTTTAACACTTAAATTTGATTGAGACTTTAAATGACATGTTGAACCTTTGTCGTTACTGATTTCGGCAGCTTTAGATTTGTTCCCACACTCCTTATAATACATAAACTGCAGAGGAGACTTCTGGAAAATCGATCCAAAGACGACTGCAGTGGGAAAAAGTTGCTTGATTCCGTTTCTTAACCCATTTAGGCCGGGAAAGCATTACCGCATTTCTACCATTCAAGCCGGGGGCGCTGTTGCGTAATTCTACCATTGACGCCGGGAGAGCATATAAGTCAAGCAAGAAGAAAGAAGTTTTTTTCAAGCAAACATGGAGGAGTTTGACAGAGAAGAGATGTCGGAAGGCAGTGATTTTGAGGAGTGTGTCGGCTTTGATGACGGTATAGATGAAAATGATGACTTTGAACGCGCTGAACCAATCGAACTACCACCGCAATGCACGGAGTGTTTTCAACCGCACACCTGGAGTGAAAGTTGATTTGCCTGCAGACACCACACCGCTGCAGGCATTTGAGCATATTTTTAATGAAGAACTTTGGATGCATCTTGTTATCGAGACGAATAGGTACAGTGACCAAACAAACCAAACTCCAACAAGAGCAAAGATGGCAAAGTGGTCACCCGTGACTGTGACGGAGATGAAGACATTTATTGGGCTGTGTATGGGCATAGGACTTCTTGTGTTGCCAGTACAAAGAGATTATTGGCGACAGAGTAAACCTCTCTTCAGGACGCAGTTCCCCCAAAATATGTCCCGGGACAGATTTGTGGCCATCTGGAGGTAAGTTGTATGCAATTTATAACACAGACATATGCATTATTATGCATAATAATACTGTTAATAAGTAATCATCAGATAGTTATTTATGTAATGTTTGTTCTTTATTTTAAAAACGTTTTATATTGCACATTCTCAATGAAGACATGATCACATATGGAAAAAATAAAGGTTGAATTTTTTATTTTTTTTATTACTGCTTTTCACTTTTTTTTTTTGGAAGAATTTCAAAGATAAAATATATTTTGAGTTCTATCTGCTACAGAAGCTGAGATATCAATAATTTACTAGGCGTTGACACAGTTGCTGAATTTACAGAAAAACTTCAGGTTTTAGGGGTATTTTTTAAAATCGGCCATAGGTTTTTAAGGTGTTTTTTCCAGGCGTTTTAGGCCTAAATGGGTTAAGCTTTTAGCTTTGTTATCAAATACAAAAATTAATTTAAAAATCTTGCAAAATGTTGGAAATCTGATTAAACATCAACAATCTCAGCAAAGCCAGGTTTGTATGTTTGTGTTTGTTTTATCACTAATGAAGGCTGCTAAATATGTTTGAAAGAAAAAGTCAGATTTAAATCTTTTATATTAATATCGGATCAATAAAACCCAGTTTTCATAGCGATGCTTTTTAAACACGATTTGACAGCACCTCAGCTAAAAGAGTTATAAAAGCAGGAATATGAGAAATAAGCCTCAAAATGAAAATAAAATAAAAACACTTGAAGCACTTACTTCCAAAGTTAACCAGCCTTCCTATCCGTGTGACGGGCACTTTCCTCTCCCGAGCATTTTCACTCAGCTAGTTAAAAACAGAAAACATAACTGGATCAAGCAAAGAACATTTATTTAATTCCTGTATTACTAATCCTACGATTTTTATCTTTATTGTGTTTATCTTCTCTCTAAAGACGCAGTACCACTTGTTTATATTGCTTCGCTTCAATTTTCTTTGCGCTTCTTGCTTTTTCGATATCCTCCGCCGTCAGCCGTCCCACCGTGGAGTTTTCCTGGTGAAACAGGCGCGTGTGTCCGGCGTACAGCTGGCCTGACCAGTTCCTGTGGAACCTGGTGTGTTTGGCGCCGGATCTCCCGCTACACGTCCTGTCACCGTTATTCACCCTCCCAGCTAAGCCGGCGCTGAAGTAGCTGCCTGCGGCGGAATATCTGTGGTAATGCATCGCTGTGGCTCTTTGGATGCTGCTTTCCATCCCTTTGTTGAAAGTCTGTTAAATGAAAAAAAAAAGGTTTATTTTAGCAGCTGAGGAAGCTGTAGCACATGACTGCATTCAGGGATACATTAACTCAGGAATTTAACCCGTTAGAGAGAAAAAAACAACGCAGGAAGTTGTCGTTAACTGCTGCTTTGAAAGCACCCATTGTGCCTAAAGTTAGACTAAACAACATAAATGGCTGTTTCTATCCAAAACATTAAAAAATGTTAAACATAATCTTATACTAATATACTATACTAGGCTTATACTAATACTAATATATCACAAGCTGAGGGTAGATGTGTGCTGCTCCAGTTGCTGCTGTGCACTGCTGGTAAGCTTGCAGAAAACAAGGGATCCGTTTGGAAAATTATTTGTGTCCTAAAAAAATAAAACTGCTCATGGCGTTGGAACTAGAGACGCACCGATCCGGATATCAGAGATCCAATCCAGTGCATTCGTCACGCAACTGTCATTTCTTTCTTTTTGCTGCTTATTTGTAAATTAACAATATAAAGTATATTTGTATACATGTTAATTTAGCTTCTTTTTTTGAAATACAGCTTTTATGTGAAGGCTAAAGTTCAGAGGTTTTAGTCCTCTGCTCCCGTTTCCTTTCTGCCTACTTTCAAAAATAATAAAGAATAAAGGCCACTAGAGCCTAAAAATTATCTTTAAAGGCTTCACTCACATGTAAAGATATATGGTTCATTTCTTGAATAACTGAATCCGATCGTTATTCGGTATGGGCCGATACGATCAGCCCAGGTACTGGATTGGAAAAAACTGGTTCAGTGCAGTTCTGCTGCGGCATTATTGCCCTAAACCAGACATGGGCAAACTACGGCCCGTTAGGCTTTTTAATCCGGCCCGCCGAACTTGTCCAAATTACCCTATTTTCACGACTGTAAGGCGCACATAAACGTCTTTTTTTTTTTCCTCAAAATGTGCGGTGCGCCCTATGTGTGTTGTAACTGTGACTTTTGAGACCACCATGCACCATGCAGAACTCCTCATCTCCTCATTGAGGAGATGATGAAAGCGTGGCTGAGGGAGGTGAATGTAAGGAGACCAGGTGGTTTTTCCACTCATCACCATCTCGGGTAATCTGTGACTCCATGCGTGCCCATCTCACAGCTGATGTGAAAAACATGGTGAAACAAATTAACGCTGTGCTCCCTGTTCAACCGCTCGACATTGGTGTGAACCGGACCCAGCAGGTGCAGCAGAAGCAGCGAGTTTACATGCAAAGTCAATGGTTGACGCGCGTATAGGCGCAGCAGAAGGTCCCGCAGCGCGTTTTGAGCAGCAGGCGCAGCGCGTCGGGAGCGCGCCGCCAACGCTGCTGCTGCTCGAGATGGAAAAATTGAAGTTTTGCTGCTGGAAGTGCCGCATCAACCAATCAGAGAAGCTGATCTGGGAGCTGACAGCGAGACAGACACAGCGCTCTGATGACAAATGATATTACGGCAAATGAAAGGGCTGGATGGATGAGGAGATGATGAAAGCGTGGCTGAGGCAGGTGTATGTGAGGAGACCAGGTGGTTTTTTCCACACATCACCAACGCTGTTAATCTGTGACTGAATGAACGCTGTGCTCGCCGTTATCTCGGGGGTCTGACAAAGAAACTTCAACCGCTCGACATCGGTGTGAAGCGGCCGTTCAAAGTAAGGCTGTGAGCGGCGTGGGAGCGATGGATGACAGACTGAGAGCACAGTTTCACGAAAAGTGGAAGGCAGCGCCGGGCAAGTTACGCCACCGTTTGCGGATGGATTGTAGATGGACTAACGTGTCTGCTGGCTCTGTTGTTCAAGCTTTCGCAAAAGCCGGCATTATTTCTGAGGAGCCGCCCGGCACGGAAAGTAACTCTGACAGCGAAGAAGGGGAAATTGGCATGTCTGATTTAGCGCAGCTGTTTAATTCAGAAACAGGATGATGACTTTGATGGGTTTGATTAATACTTTGTAATAAATACATGAATAAAGCACAAACATACTCAGTTTTGCTCCCGCTCTATTTTTCTACCTGAAAACTTAATTCAACAGCAGCCTCTGGGCGGGTCTCCTCCTCTTCACCGCGGTGGCTGGCAGGTGTTTTTTCATCTAAATAATCTAAATCTTGCAGCTATATTTGCTGTGATCAGTGGGAATAAAGTAGTTTTAATATGTTTTTAAGTGAGAAAGTCCACCTGAAAACGTAATAATTGCAGTCAGTTCATCCAGATTATCTATTTCTGTCGGAGGCGCTCAGACCCCCACATACCAGCGGTGCACCGACAGTAGAAATCCCTTCAACAGCAGCCTCTAGGCTGGGCAGCCTCCGGGTTCACCGCGGCGGCTGGCAGGTGTTTTTCATCTAAATAATTTAAACTGCAGGCACCAGGATACTGGTAATAAAAGCGAACATATTCCGTCGGCAGGTTTCAAAATTTTAAGTTAATTTAGGAGTGATCACAGCGCTGTGTCATCAGCGATGTGTCTGTCTCACGGCCAGCTCCCAGGTTTGATTAATACTTTGTAATAAATAAATGAATAAAGCACAATCATACTCAGTTTTGCTCCCGCTCTATTTTTAAATATGCAGTAGAGGTATTCAAACGTAGTAGAGGACATGTACCTGTATATAAGAAAACCCTATAGTCCGGTGCGCCTTATGTGTGTGTTAAATGCATAAACGGGACACATAACTGAGACTGCGCCTTTTAGTACGGTGCGCCTTATGGTCGTGAAAATTGTCTGGTTTTTTTTACATTTCAATCCCCAGGTTTAATTAATGACATTGCTTGTCCAAATGCTCCTGGCCTGGCCCTTTTGTCAAATTTTAGAACCCATTCTGGCCCGCAAGTCAAAAAGTTTGCCCACCCCTGCCCTAAACACTGTTTTAAGGCATCTGACCGCAGGCTGATTACCAGAGCAGGTAGCCTGCATATTTAACTGCTAAAATCAACTTGCTAAACTTGTTTCACTGTATGAGGATTAAAACAGGAAAATAACTCTCTTCATTGAGCACCTAAGAAGGTGCTTATTCTATATATACTCTATATTTTTGATTAAATCTTGGTTTCAACCAAAAACAATGTCATAGAGAGCATAATTATAGCTTTAATAGTCCTCCTATCCATTTTCTGTCATGCTTATCCCTGCTGGTGTCTATCTCCAGCTGTCTATGGGTGAGAGGCGGGGTCCATCCTGGACAGGTCGCCAGTCCATCACAGGGCAACACAGAGACAAACAACCATTCACACTCACACCTAAGGCGAGTTTAGAGAAGCATATTAACATAACAGTCATGTTTTTGGACTGGGAGGAAGCCGGGGTACCCGGAGAGAACCCATGCATGCTCAGGGAGAACATGCAAACTGCATGCAGAGAGGCTCGAGCCGGGAATCGAACCCAAAACCTTCTTGCTGCAAGGCAGCAGTGCTACCCACTGCGTCACTGAGCATCCCGTACTTTTATATTATATATCTTTATTTTAATTTTTTTAAATTATATATTATATATCTTTTTAGACACGATACAAATCAACATCAGTTTAAAGCAGTTAAATCATTTCTCTGGTGTTGCCAGGAAACTGGCATTTATACTCAAGGTCAGCATAACATTAGGATCAAATAACGAGCAAAGGGAGAGTCAGGAGAAAAAAGAAATAATTGCAGAGCGAACAGCAAAAATGTTGGTTCTGCAAAGCCTGAGGAGAACAGACTGAAAAATAGGAACAAAGGAGGAAAAGCCTCAAAGAAGAGATGAATATAACAATAACTTAAGTGCAGAGCAGCAGTTGTTGCTTTGCAGGGTTAAACTCTCAGTCGGGGTGGAAACGTTCTACATGTGTGGGTTTTCTCCAGGCACGTGTCAGATTAAATGGATATTCTAATTTGTCTTTACATGTAGGGCTGTGTGCGTGTTTAAGTGGCTGCATGTTAGTCTTTTGATGAACTGGTGACCTGTCCAGCAAGTGAAGGTAAAATGTAGCCGTTTAGGAATCCAGAGCATCAGTTTGTTTGTGTTTCAAACATTAGAGCATGTTGCTTTTTACAGTAAAACACGGAGGAGGTACCGTCATACTCTGGGCTCTCTTTGCTTTATAGTGGCAAATATTTCATAAATACTACATAAAATGAAAAAGGTATCAAAAAGGAACATTTTACAGAACATGTATGGAATAGAAAAAAAAAAAAAAAAAAACACTTCAAGATTTTAGTCCTGATTCCCCCAGCTGCCATTTATTAAAAAAAATGAAATTGAAAATTCACAAATATTTAGAAGCTGCTTTTACAGTTTACGTAAGGCGAGAGCGCTCCTATCCCTACGATTTTACTTTTTCACAATAATTTTCTCGAGAAAACAAGTTAATTTTCTCATCATCTAAAGATAATGAAGCCTTTTTTCTCGTGATAACGAGATGATTGGCGTGTTTTAAAACTGATTACATCATTCGATCCCACCACAGCGGGAGAGGATTCATAAGTATAAGTCATAGCAGCCTGTCTGTAATTCTGTAAATAATCCCGTGTTTAACTTTTAGGTAACAAGACGACGTTGTTGGTTTGATGATTTGCTTTTTCTTCTGATTCATATGCAATTAAACCTATGCCTCAGGGCCTAGCGAATGGCGTTTTCTGATCAGCCTCGGTGTTACGCCTTAACAGGTATAAAATGCATTAACCCCTAAAAGGAGTCCAGATTAAAGATTAGAATTAAAAAGCAGTCAGATTTGTTTCTACTGTATTCCAGGCAATCCATTCATCCACCACAAACTGACAATGAGTGAAAAGAAAAAGGAAAGTAAAAAACTGCTTATTTGTGCAATACCACAACTGCACACTAGGGGCACAGCAGGCACGGATGGACTGGGAATTACTCATACAGGTTAATCATCTCGTTATCTCAAGAAATCAATAACTGTTTTCTTGTGATAACGAGATAATTATCTTGTTATCTCGAGAAAACAATTAATGGTTAAAGCTTATTATCTTGAGAAGGCAAAAGAAAAAAAAAAGTTGATTATGACCGCCCTCAGCTTCCGTTTGTATCTAATAGTGAAACATTAACATAGTTTTTTGTTCAAATATTTAGTATGTCAAATCAAATTTATACCTATATGTAATATTTTCATAGTATGCAAGAATCTTTCATTGGTAAATATCTACAGATTTGCAGGAATATGTAATACTTTAAAATCCTGCCATTTTATCAGATGCCAAAGGTAAACCCAGATGGAAGAAACATCCAGAGGGATGTTTTCCCCCCAAACCTCTCTGAACTAATACGTGCATGTTATGGCGTCCAAGCCTAAAACAGGAATCCACAGAGTGAAAATCAAGAAGAGTTTCTGCTGCCCAGAAAAGGCGCAGCTAAATCAAAGGGGCCCCGGTGCATCAGGTCCGCCGAGTGGCCGACTACAAAAGCTGCTGCAAAGAATCCAGGACAATGGCAGCTTTTCAACATCAATTAAGCTGAGCATCGTCTCTGCAGCTTTACATGCAGCTGTATGTAAAACATAATCATATAACCTGATTGAAAACAATTCATAACAGTTGTTTACATCAGGAAGAAAAACATTTCTATTATATTTAATGTCTGAGCTGCAGATTATTTCTATTGAAAAAAAAACCTCCTGTTAAATGATGCCTTCATAGATTTAACCATGCAGCGGTAAACATTGTTTTTTACATTTGACTTGCTGATTGCTGTCCTGAGTCGATCAAGTGAAACTTGATGATTCCAGGTTATGTTTGTTCTTTTTGGCACATTTCTTTCTGGTAGCAGTGTTATCTCACTGATTAAAAGCCTTTTGTTCAGGAAACATTTATCTCGTAGGCTATAAAGCTAAATGTGCTTTTAATGTGATAACCTTTCTATAGTCCCACTGAATCATCAGGCTCCATGATCACTACAATCTGTGCAGCATGTCCAGGACACTGCATCATGGGGTGAATGACTGCTGATGGTGGATGCTTACCAGTCTGTGGTTGTTGGGGCTGCTCAGGCTGCTTGCTGGGGCTCTGCTGGCTGCCTGTTTTATCCAGCTCAGACCCCTCAGCACCACTATGTCCCCTGTCATGATGTTACCCTGTAGAGCTGCACACAACACAAACAAACCCATCCACGTGTTTATGCAGCCAGGATTAATACCAGGCTGGAGCTAAACAATGTAAACAGAAACGGACTACAGGAAGAAAGAAAAACAACATGGTTCAGGGTAAGCTGTGAAAACAAATCAGAGACAAAGGAGGAGGAGAAAGTGGGATTTTACAGTCAATTTAACAGAAAGAAGAAAACAAAAGAACTTCCACTCACCACTAGAAGCTGATCTAAACACGTCGTCTGAGCTCAGAGAGCATGCAGAGCAGCCAGCATTGTGCAACTGCTGCCCCTCTGTCTATCTGTCCGTCTATCTACCTCGGTTTGACCTGACAATTCCTGACGGAGGAAAGAGAGACTCCTGTGAGACAGCGCGGAGGGAGACACTCTGCAGCGGGACATAAAAACCGATTCAACAAAAACCAGACAAAGGGTCAAAGTTTGGGAGCGGAGCGACTATCAACCAGCCCGCATTCACTGACAGTTGTTCTCTGGATGCGTGTGCCCGCGTGTACCCGCTGACGTGTCCGCGCGGGGCGGACCCCGAGCTGCTGCACGCACCAGGCGTCCGCGGGCTTCCCGCCCATTTCTTTTTTCAAAGTGTCACGTGATCGCTGGAGTCACGTTTTTCTCTTCTCACTTGCACATGAAAGCAGAATATTACGGAAGAGGATTAGGGCTACTGAAGAAATAAAAAAGTTAATATTATTCCAGTTTGGTATGGGAAAAAAAAAAAAAATCAAAATTCTGACTATCTCAGAATTCTTACTTTTTTCTCAGAATTCTGACTTTTTTTCCTCTGAATTCTGAATATAATCTCAGAATTCTTACTTTTTTCTCAGAATTCTGACTTTTTTTTCCTCTGAATTCTGAATATAATCTCAGAATTCTTACTTTTTTCTCAGAATTCTGACTTTTTTTTCCCTCTGAATTCTGAATATAATCTCAGGATTCTTACTTTTTTCTCAGAATTCTGACTTTAATCTCAGAATTCAGATTTTCATCCTGAGAATTCTGAGTTTAATCTCAGAATTCAGATTTTTTTTCCTCTGAATTCTGACTATAATCTCAGAATTCTTACTTTTTTCTCAGAATTCAGTTTTTTTTCCTCTGAATTCTGACTAATCTCAGAATTCTTACTTTTTTCTCAGAATTCAGATTTTTTTTTTTCAGAATTCTGTCTATAATCTCAGAATTCAGATTTTTTCTCTCAGAATTCTGACTATAATCTCAGAATTCTTACTTTTTTCTCAGAATTCTGACTATTACACCTTCATATTTGGGCTCTAGGGAGGTTGTAGACCATATTTAAAAGGGGGCCAGAGTGGGGCCATGTGTTTGATTGGAGGAACAGAAAAGCATGGAACAAAAACAAGGGAGAGCCACAGAACATCAGAGCCACTTTTGGCTCTGCAATGAATGATTGAAAATTTCACATCATTTATTAAATGTAATTAAATAACTTTAAGGTTAAAGTACATTTATTATTCAGCAATATTAAATATTTTTGATTATTTTAAAATAATGATTATCAGTTTTAATCAAATCAGTATTAGAACTAAAGTAAAACTAAAATTCAGCAATAACAGATTGAAGTATTTTTTTTAAATTTGGTTCAAAATAACATTTAGCAGAGGAAAACTGATTCTATCTCAGAATGACTGAAGCTATCACCTTAAGTTCAATTCAATTTTAATTCAGTTTATCTATATAGCTCCAATTCACAACAAATGTCATCTCAAGGCACTTTACAGTTCAACCAGCTCATCCAGTCAAATTGACTCAAAGTTTTCTATCTAAGGAAAACCAGTTGATTGCATCGACTCATTGACTCAAAGGCAATCCCTTACACTAAGCATGCTTGTAGCAACAGTGGAGAGGAAAAACTTTAACAGGAGGAAACCTCCAGCAGAACCAGGCACAGTGTGAGCGGCCATCTGCTGAGGCCGACTGGGGTTCAAGGAGACAGAAGCAGACATACAGAAGAAAAGCAGAGATACAGGTGCTGGTCATAAAATTAGAATATCATGAAAAAGTAGATTGATTTCAGTAATTCCATTTAAAAAGTGAAACTTGTATATTATATTCATACATTACATACAAACTCATATATTTCAGATGTTTATTTTGTTTAATTTTGATGATTACAAATGACAACAAATGAAAATCTCAAATTCATCATATCAGAAAATTAGAATATTACTGAAGACCAATAAAAACAAAGGATTTATAGAAATGTTGGCCAACTGAAAAGTATGAACATGAAAAGTATGAGCATGTACAGCACTCAGTATTTAGTTGGGCCTCCTTTGGCCTGTATTACTGCAGCAATGCGGCGTGGCATGGAGTCGATCAGTCTGTGGCACTGCTCAGGTGTTATGATAGCCCAGGTTGCTCTAATAGTGGCTTTTAGCTCTTCTGAATTGTTGGGTCTGGTGTATTGCATCTTCTTCTTCACAATACCCCATAGATTTTCTATGGGGTTAAGGTCAGGAGAGTTTGCTGGCCAATTAAGAACAGGGATACCATGGTCCTTCAACCAGGTACTGGTAGCTTTGGAACTGTGTGCAGGTGCCAAGTCCTGTTGGAAAATGAAATCTGCATCTCCAAAAAGTTGGTCAGCTGCAGGAAGCATGAAGTTCTCTAAAACTTCCTGGTATGTGGCTGCGTTGACCCTGGACCTCAGAAAACACAATGGACCAACACCAGCAGATGACATGGCACCCCAAACCATCACTGACTGTGGAAACTTTACACTGGACTTCAAGCAACGTGGATGAAGTGCCTCTCTTCTTTTCCTCCAGACTCTGGGACCTTGATTTCCAAAGGAAATGCAAAATTTACTTTAATCAGAGAACATGACTTTGGACCACTCACCAGCAGTCCAGTCCTGTTTCTCTTTAGCCCAGGCAAGACGCTTCTGACGCTGTCTGTGGTTCAAGAGTGGCTTGACACAAGGAATGCGACAGCAGAAACCCATGTCTTTCATACGTCTGTGTGTGGTGGTTCTTGAAGCACTCACTCCAGCTGCAGTCCACTCTTTGTGAATCTCCCCCACATTTTTGAATGGGTTTTGTTTCACAATCCTCTCCAGGGTGCGGTTATCTCTCTTGCTTGTACACTTTTTTCGACCACATCTTTTCCTTCCCTTCGCCTCTCTATTAATGTGCTTGGACACTGAGCTCTGTGAACAGCCAGCCTGTTTAGCGATGACCTTTTGTGTCTTGCGCTCCTTGTGCAAGGTGTCGATGGTCGTCTTTTGGACAACTGTCAAGTCAGCAGTCTTCCCCATGATTGTGTAGCCTATAGAACTAGACTGAAAGACCATTTAAAGGCTTTTGCAGGTGGTTTGAGTTAATTAGCTGATTAGAGTGGGGCACCAGGGGCCATCAATTTTGAACCTTTTCACAATATTCTAATTTTCTGATATGATGAATTTGAGATTTTCATTTGTTGTCATTTGTAATCATCAAAATTAAACAAAATAAACATCTGAAATATATGAGTTTGTATGTAATGTATGAATATAATATACAAGTTTCACTTTTTAAATGGAATTACTGAAATCAATCTACTTTTTCATGATATTCTAATTTTATGACCAGCACCTGTACAAAAAGGGCAACCATCAACCAGCTCCACAGGCGGCCATGTACAGGAAACACACAGCCAGGCAGACGAGCTTGGAGCCAGCTCCCATGTCAGAGGATGAATAGAGCTGTGAGATAGCCTGGCCAAGTGGCTGAAGAAGGCAGTAGGCAGATGTCCAATGTAGCAGGTGGTTTATTTACATTGCAAAACAAGGGTGCAAAAAAAAATAAGTATTTACAAAAGAAATTTCCCCAAAAAAATAACTCAGGTTTAACATGGCTCAACAGAACATTAACTGAACTTAAATCAACCATAATTAATGTCAAGTGCACCCAGCTACACTGACCTGGTTCCTCTCTCTTCTGAACCTCAAACAGCTCTGTCTTATACCCGTTTGGTCTGAAACACAAAATGGCCTCCAATGGACTCTTCCATTAACAAATGTGGCTGCTCCATTTACTCTCTACCTAGCTGTTGTTACATACTATAATTTTAAGCAAAATGTACGGAATAAACACCATACAAATATTTACATCTAAATGTAACATTGGCAAGGATTTTAAATAGTTAACAAAATGTAAAAGGATTTTCATCCCCCCCCTCTTCCTCTGGTATCTTCCTGTGACCACAGCTCTACACAGGAGTCTCTAATTGCAGGAAGTGAGGTCACACTTCCTCCTGGAAGACAGGTAAGGTAAATTCACCAAAATAAAACAAAAGTTACATAATCAAACAAAACCTTGAAAAGTTATCACCTGATTTAAACCAAGATGTTTACTAAATTATCTGTAAAAATGCAAACATAAACAAACCCGGGATAGTAAATGAATGCAAACTACAGAATAAAGAGATGGTTAAATCAAGCAAACAAAATAACAAATGTATAAACTGAGACAAATGGTGTTCTCACCCACTTTGTCACAAGAGCACATTCAGTTAGAAACAGGACTACACTAAAAACAGGCCGATCTCTAAGTTCTAAATCGTAATTAAAACAGAACTGTAGAGAAAATAAGGAAATGGGTCCAAGGGACCTATCAGTCACTATGCCTGTTCCAGATCATGTCATCATCAGAATTTTCTTCTAGAATTTTGACCTCAATACATGAGCACTAACATACATGAATACTCAGAAATTTTGTTTAATACAGCTTTGCAGTGATCAAATATAAACAGTGTGATCACTGACCTGTTGGCCCCTCTCTAGAACCACAGGCTGGGGCTGATTCCTTAATTCAAAGTGGTAAGACAATTTGCTGATGAAATTAGATGACTTATGTTTATAGTAGGAAAAAACAAATATCTTATATTTTATTTCAGGTGCATACAATGTAATTATTTTATTCTAAGAGCAAACATACTAGTTTATTTCTCATATCATCTTATTTGTCTGTTCAATTTTAGGCCAAATGCACTTATTTTAAGAATTCTTTACTTGTTAAGGTCAGTTTTTGCAGTGCAATACTAAATCATTTTCTCATTCATGGTGATGATGTACACTGACAGGAAGAAACTGTAGCTGATTCGACCCTTGGACCAACTCCACAGCATAATGCTACCACCACCATACCTCACAGTTGATGTCCTTTGGTTTGAAAGCCTCTGCTTGACTCCCGCAATCAAAGCTCTTGTCATAGTCAATAAATAACTCCTTCCTTGTCTCATCTGACTAAAGAACCTATCTGCACAAAGCGTCTTCACGTCTACAGCAGAAATTTGGGGGTTGTGCACGTGTCAGCATTTCTTTCTTGGTCCCAACCCTCTGCAGAGAATGCATGCTAACAAGATGTTTGCCATGCTTTCTGGATGTTTGAGTTTATACAAAGGTAGGTTGGTCTTCTGGCACCGAACCAATTCAACAACTTTCTACCTGCTTTATGCATTTAAAAACCAAGTTTGGTGACTTTTTTTTTTTTTCTTTGACCTGTTGGAACATGAAACCCCCTCAAAACTTCTCATATAAAGAGTAAATCAAACCTACAGTGGATATCAGCTGTTAATCTCTGAACTGAATTGATGCAAACAGTCCTGTTTACAGTCTGTTTTGATAAGCTTCCTGTTTGAAGGAGGGAAGATCAGTTTATTTGTTCAGCATCTTTCAGACAAATAAATTCAAAGCCCCCTTTTAATAGTTTATTATCAGCGAGGTGCAAGTTTTTACTTTGATGTTATTTAGTCACATACATCAGCAAGATTTTAGTGAGTTCAGCAAATTTGAGGATCAGCTTTGAAAGGAAGGCCTGAATAAAGTCCATTAGGGTGGGCTAGTCTACCACATGCAGCAGCCTCGTCAGATTGCACGTCGGCGCCGACTGAGCCCAATCTCATCAAACTCCCTGAATGTAAACACAAACACACCGACAATCACACTGGACATCAGCAGGTCAATATACTGATTTGCTGTATCTTCAACCCAGTTTCCCCAGAAAGTTGCAGTTTAAACAAAACATTTAGGAATAAATGACACAGAATGCAATGAATGTTTAAAGTGAGAAATTTGAATTACACTAAGCTTATAGCATCAGAACACTGATCCAATATGGCTGACTGAATGGTGTTCCATCCACACTGCTAAGAAGCGAGTTCAGACAATAGAAGGATATAATCAAACATAGTGCACAAGGCTTGCAGGTCAAGTCACATATAAAGGATTTATGCACACATATTTTAAGGTCATACAGAGTGCTACCTGCCCAATGCATTTCTAACATATTGTTGCATTTTAGCTGCATGGCTTCGTGTTTCTAATCTGTGTCGTGTCAAACTGGTCCACCTGCAGTTTTGTTTTTAGGTCAAATATACAAGAGCAGCTCAAAGTTGTTAAAAATGAAATCTGACACCAAGTAAAAACAGGAAAGCTTTTTATTTTTTTTGAACTAGAGTAATTTTTTTGGCTATAAAAAGAAATTTTAATTCATACAAAAAAAAAACACTAAACTATAAGCACTCTTAAAAGTTGAATAAAATGATCAGATTCTAAGGGACCATTAATTCATCCTCTGTTTAAATTAATTCTAATCTTTTTATTATCGATGAGCTTTGGATATTTTATCTCAGCGTTCTTTTTTATGTACATGGTGGCAAGATTTTCTGCAGTTTTTAACTCTGTTCCTCTAAAAGTAGAACATGAGAGCTTTAATTTTTGTGGCCACTCCTTAAATCAAATATTAAAAGGATCTGATTGGTTTCTTGTATTTGTGCAGTAGTTAAAGGAAAATGTTTTAGTTACATCATAGTTATGTCCCCCAACGCAGGGGTCTGCAACATGCCGCAAGTAGCTCTTTGGACCCTCTTGATAGTGACTGAAAACTATAAAGAGCCGACTAATGGTTTTTTATATAGTATATTAACAAATATAAATGTTACAAGCTTTAGCATTCTTTTAAACAAACATTTGAATTCTGACGATAGAATAACATTAAACAATCAAGAATGTGTTTTAGATCTGCATCTCTTGTCATTAGTTTGTAAACTATGCACTTTTTTTTTATACATAAAAAAATATCCTACAGAATAAAATCCAAATCAATGCTTCCTTGAATGTCTCTGTAAAGCTCCTTGAGATATATATATATATATATATATATATATATATATATATATATATATATATATATATATATATATATATAAAATGAATTGAATTATGAAGTTTTCATGTTTTGTCCTTATTTTAATAACTAAAAATGCAGCTAAACTGTTTGCTGTTTAAAATGGCAGCAGATCTCCTATTGCAGATATTTAAAAAGTAATAGGTTGTGTTTTATTTAAAAGCCATGAATTTGCTGCTCTAAACCATTTTTTTAAGCTGGGCTGGGTCTAAAAAAGCTCTTTGGATTAGAAAGGTTGAGGACACCTGACCCACAGAAACAAGAAAACACAGATTTATAAAGTAAAGGTCCTGGGCCGCCTGGTAGATCAGGTAAAGACACATGGAGCCATAGCAACACAAGCTTAATCATGTTTTATTATAAACACTGAAATTACATCAAATCTGAAGTTTTCTTGGCCTTTATTTTTATTTTTTTTACATAAAATCAGATTTTTTTTCCCCCCATTGGGATGATTTGTTCATTCGGCTGTTAGGGTCGGATGACAGACCTCAGCTTCGGGAAGAGTCGCAGGGCATTCTGGGTCGTCACCTCCATTACCTTCTCCAAGGACACGCCTTTGATCTTACTGATGTACTCCGCAGAAACACTGATGTTTCTGGGCTCGTTTCTTACCTGTTTAAAATTAAACAGAAAGGTTAAGAAATATGCTATGATACACAAAGCAACACCTGTAAGGAAAACCCTTGAGCCCGTTACATTATAGACATGTCTGAAACCAGTTCCTGCTCAATGTTTATTTCTCTCACAGCAATTAGATAAGATTTTACCTGTTTTTCTGGGCCAAGAGCTGGAGAATCAGTTTCCAAACAGATGTGTTCCAGCGGCAGCTGTTTAACAAGTTTCTGCTTCTTGGTTGAAACCAACCAGAGGCAAAAGTGCAAACAGAAATGAGTTAAAGATGGCGTAAAATATGAGCGCATCACGTGTCCATCTATACCTGCTCACTCCGTATTATGGATGGAGGGATAGAGAAGAAGTATCCAGCTTTCACTCCCTCCATTGCAACAGAAGGTTTTCCATCAAAAGCATGAAGAAGGGCTTTTTCGACACCTGGTGTCCAAGTAGAAGAACTGCAGCTGAATCATCAATACAAAGGATTTCTGCAAATACATTCCAAAGTTCCTGTATCTACTCACCTTGCTCCTTCAGGAGGTGGATGGTGGGTCGTCCTGCAGACCTTGAATGGACATTTCTAACAATTAAAACACACAGATTAAAAAAATAAAATATCTAAGCTGAAGAATGAGTTGAAATTGCTCCATTACTACTAGAAACATGAATACAACCAACCTAAGTACAGCATTTAAAAAAAAAGAAACTGCAGAAACCTTTTTTTTTAATACAAATTTGAAATTCAGGGGAATTTAATCCTGAAGCAGAAGTTCAATTTCCAACAGACTTAGACAAAACTTTATTTACCCTGTGTATACGAAACTAAATTTCGTTTATACAGCTTACAAACAGTGAATGAGCAGCTTAGACGTGAAAAAGAACATTTCCATTCATAAAGTGCAGCAGTGATCAAAAGTACACAGTGTGGGAGAGACATGGTGCAAAAAAGGAAATGATGCAGAAGGTTCAGAGCAGTTCAGAAATAAATAAATAGATATGGTGCAAAATGCAGTAAAAAACATCCCAGTGAGTTCTATTTTGAACATTCATGTATTGCATTTATGATGTTGGAAGTCAACCTTGAGTTACAGTTAAACATTCACCCAGAGCCACAATAGAGAGGATGAGCTCAGACTTCATCCATGTGTTATGCTGCGTTCACACCGGACGCAGCAGGCGCGGCAGAAGCAGCGAGTTTACATGCAAAGTCAATGGTTGATGGACATCAAGGCGCAGCAAAATGTCCCGCAGTGCATTTTGAGCAGCAGGCGCAGCGCGTCGGGCGCATTTAAGCATCTATCGCGCCGCAAACGCGCTGCTGCTCGAGATGGAAAAATTGAACTTTTGCTGCTCGACGCGCCGCATCAACCAATCAGAGAAGCTGATCTGGGAGCTGGCAGCGAGACAGACACATCGCTGATGATACAGAGCGCTGTGATCGCTCCTCTGAAACAGTTTATTGACGCATAAATTAACTTAAAATGCAGAAATCTGCCGGCAGAATATGTTCGCTTTTATTATTCTGCTGCCTGCAGTTTAGATTATTTAGATGAAAAACACCTACCAGCCGCCGCGGTGAACCGCGAGGAGGCGACCCGGCCAGAGGCTGCTGATGAAGGGATTCCTACTGTCGGCGCACCGCTGGTATGTGGGGGTCTGAGCGGCTCCGACAGAAATAATATTGGAAGGCAGGATGATAATCTGGATGAACTGACTGCACTTATTACGTTTTCAGGTGGATTTTCCCACTTAAAAACATATTAAAACTACTTTATTCCCACTGATCACAGCAAATATAGCTGCAAGGCAGAGAAAGGATAGTGAAGCTCCGCCCAACGTGTGTCAGACACACTTTTGCACCGCGCAGCCAGAGCAGCAAAGCTGCTTCAGCCGCTCGTCAGAACTAAACTGGTACAAGCAGCAAAAATGAAGCAGCAGACGCGATTTTGCTGCTCTTGCTGCGTCCGGTGTGAACGTAGCATTAGAATGGTCCAGTTAACGTCTAGACCTATATCTAACAGAATTCTGTAGCCAAACCAGAAAGACTCTTAAAATCATAAAAGATTTTGTTCTGGGTGTTTTTGTTTTAAGCTGCCATCTTGGAATGCAATAGATCATTTCAGAGTCCATCCAGTCTGACTGAGCTGTTCTGAAACATGTCCGTTTCAAGACGAGCATCTGGTTCAGACTCAATGAGGCTGAAGACAGATACAAGCTCAGCTTTAGATCATCGTCCTCCATCTTCATCAGTTCTCCATGATGGAGCTCAAATTTATAATGCAGATGCATTAGTGCAATACTTTCCCCTGCTGCTACTCTACCTTCCCAAGATTAGATGACCCGCCACTCATCAATCAGCAGGACATTTAAAAAAAAAATCAGAAATATCTTTAAAGCTAAACATCTTCACATAGGAGAAACTCACAGAGGGAGATCTAGCTCCTTGGCAACCTTCGCTTGAAGTATAAGAACCTGTTTTTGATTCTCCTTATCAGACTCACTGCTGACAAACCTGGGAGTAAAATCCAAGCCCACCTGCAACAACAGAAAGAAAAAAGGCAAAATCAATCAGGTATTCTGATGCTCCAGCCTCCCAAATACAATGAGTGATAATTCAGAGCCCTGTTATTTCTATGTCTGATTTAATATTTTATTTATTGCTTTGGAATGATTTTTATTCTGTAGGTCTAATCCAGGAGTCTGTTGCCTTTAGATTATATTAAAAGAGCAAACTTTCCCTTTAGTTTAACTGAATCTAATTCATTCAGAACCCGAAAAAAAAAATATAAAAAGTATATTAAAAAAAGCAGCATATAAGTTTCAATAAAGAATTTACAGGAAATCTGATCAAATAGCCACAATTTACCTCGTTTATAGATTTTTAAATCACAAAACAACACAAAACCTTTAAAAATTAGGATGTATTTGTGGAGAATTATGTAGGATTGGACTAAAAAATATAACTTATGTCACTATGTTGTTGAAATCCAATGCAATTGTCCTACAAAAAAAATAAAACTAAAATAATTGATGAAATAATTTCTTTAGCATTTTTAGACAAAGAGCAGTTGTGGTGAAAGTACTGTTTTCACTTTTTGAGACAAATTACAGATCCCAGCGCATCAAATGTTACAATAAAAGTTAGTATATTACTCAAATTATTACTTAAAGGAATAGTACACCCAAAACATGATTAGCCTTCATTTTCTACTCACCCCAATGCTGAACAACACTCTGGAGTACTTTTTTGATATCTCAAATGCATCTGGAGATCTGGGAGGCTTCTTGCTGTCTGCTGACATTCAAATAATGGAGGTCTATGGCGCCCGAGGCAGAAAGGTCCATAAAAGTCCACAAAAAACGTGTCAATATTCCTCCATACTGCTCGTCCAATGTATTCAAAGTGTCCTGAGTGGGTAGCGTCCATAATTTACTCGAAACAAAGTCATTTAGAATGTTTTTAGAGCATAAACAGTAGTGTATAGGATTTCCTGAAAGCGAGTTCACGAGTCTACGGAAACCGCGGCAGACCAAACCAGATGAAAGTGCGCACTCTGCCGATAATGCAAGCGTAGAAGAAGAAATGTGCTGTTTACCTGTGCAAAGAAAGAAACAACGAAAGAAAAATGTCTGAGGACTTCAGTGTTGAGGAAGAGCATGAGTTCTTTGCCGAGCTGAATGCGCACTTTCATCTGGTTTGGTCTGCCGCGGTTTCCGTAGACTCGTGAACGTGCTTTTAGGAAATCCTATACACTACTGTTTATGCTCTAAAAACATTCTAAATGACTTCGTTTCGAGTAAATTCTGGACGCTACCCACTCAGGACCCTTGGAATACATTGGACGAGCAGTATGGAGGAATATTGACACGTTTTTTGTTGACTTTTATGGACCTTTCTGTCTCGGGCACCATAGACCTCCATTATTTGAATGTCAGCAGACAGCAAGAAGCCTCCCAGATCTCCAGATGCATTTGAGATATCAAAAAAGTACTCCAGAGTGTTGTTCAGCATGGGGGTGAGTAGAAAATGAAGGCTAATCATGTTTTGGGTGTACTATTCCTTTAAGTTGAAGTTCTGGATTAGGTGCTTTCAAAAACGGTAAAGTGTTCAAAATAGTTGAAAATCTGGGAAGTTTTTCTCTACGTTGTATTTAAATGAAGAATAGAAAAAAAAAACTTTAAAAATGTTTTACTCCTTAGTCACGATTAGTGGGGGCAGCATGGCTGCCTTTCTGCACCTATAGTCCCTCCACAGCACCACAAAAACACAAAATAGACGCAACAGACATGAACAAACACGGCAAATAGAAGCAACCATTAAAGAAAACCATTATAGAAATGTAGTGACGTGTTTTCCTTCCCCAAAAAAATAAACAAATACCGCAATAACTCCTGTAACAACCACTGTGCAACTATATTATAGTTTTTTATTTCTTGACTGTGCAATATATGTGAATAGAATAGTCATACCACTACCTCACCGTTGTTCCTTACCTACTACACTTTAATATAAAGTCAATCCACCTGTATATAAGCCATCCTGCTTGTGCATATGTCACCTCAAATCTGTGTTACTCCCTTGTATTTTTTATTTTTTTTTTCATTGTGTGTGATACATGTACACTTGCACCTTAATTCTTATTCTTATCTTGATATACTGTATATACAGTGCTTGCTTATTTATTCTTAATGCACCTTTTCTTCCTTGTTTGCACATTCTTTAATTACTATGCCAATATGTGACCAATGAATTTCTTCGCCGTGAGATCAATAAAGCTCATCTAATCTAATCATAAAAAAATTAAAAGTATAAATTCTCATAAACCTTACTTAAGTATAGTAATCCTGTAAATCTACTTCTTTCCTGAGTCCCATCTGGTTCCACAGCTGGAGACATCATCCCAGAAATGAAGCTAAAAGCCATGTCTGAGTATAGATAGCTGTTAGAGTTTTGACAGTTAGCCCTGAACAGCGGTTTGAACTCAATATAGAATATTTGCATGTTTTCCTTTAGGTTCTTGTCCAGGTTCTTTTTTTTGACTTATTTCTCTCTGTGTAAGTGATGGACTGCTGATCTATCCTGAGAAGTTTGTCTCCAAAAGCTGAAACAGACTCCAGAAACCGGAAGCCGACTTAAACATCCTGAAAAACCAAACGCCTCCTCATGTAGGTGAAGCGTGAACTGTCACCTCTCCAACTGCGACAAGCTGGTCTTTGTATTGTTCTATGACTGGTAGAGCTGCATCCAGGTCCTGTATAAAATAAAGAGCATTCTTTAGTGACCTGTAAAGTCTTTAAAGATCTATCTAATTCAGATGTTGAGCCAATGCTCTGTACCTGAAGAGAAACACTCCTTTGTTGCTCTGGAGGAACTTCTTGGACAGGATGAACTCCTAAGCAGGGGAAAATAAAACCAGGAAATCTAAGGAAAACAAAAAGCAGAAGCTGCCATTAGCGACAACCAAAAACATTTAAACATTCAAGTTATTATGATGTTTATTATTTTTTGTACCTCTCTGATAGTTCAATGATTTTGGTAAATTCTCCAGCATGCTCAGCCACAGCCAAAAGCGCCAGCAGGCCGGCCTAAGAAATAAAAATAAATGAATTAATTCTTTATTTTATCTACCCGTGTCGAGACGTTTTCTCTTACATTGTCTCTTTTCAAATACAGCCATATAATAAATCTGGATTATATGTAATAAATTAACAGAAAAGATAAAAGTGAAAGGAAAAGGATAAAAAGTTCTTAATGTAATGGTGTGGATATTTAGTCAGGCCCCTCTACCCTGATACCCCTACATAAAATCCATTTACATACCGATACATATATATCTTAAATCTCAATGCAGCTCTGTAGGATCTTCAAATATACAATTCAACCATGGGGGACATAGTTACACTCTTATTAAAATATTGGTAAGAAGAAAGCTAACATCTAATCCTTTCAGTGTTAGAATAGAATAGAATAAAAAACCCTTTATTTTCATGGGGAAATTCTGGTGTTTACAGCAGAAACAAGATTATAGAAGAAATGGTCTAATAAATATGGACCTCAGAAAAGTGTATAAGAATAACATAATAGTGAAGAGTTAAAAAATAAACCAATAAAATACTGTATTGTAAAGGGTTTTAACAATATAAATATTGAACACCTGGAGAGTAAATAACCAATATACAGCTGTGTTGACTTTATGCACAGTTATGCACGTATTTGAGTTTAACGTTTACATAAAAACCTCCAATTTTTACCAAAATTTTTTGGCTGCACGCATTAAAAAACAGTGGAAACATCTTAAACCTGCAGAGAAATCTCACCTTCTTTGAATTCTCAATAACTTCTTCCACGTCCTGATGAGAAGAAACAAGTTAAAACTTCGTTTAGTTTTTTTAAAGGCTGTAAAGAAAAAAAAACGCATTTATTCTTTCCCCCCTACCTTGTCAAAATCCCCCGCAGAGATGTGACAGTGGCAGTCAATGTAGCCATGCATGCGTGCCTCTGTTTTTCCCCCTTAGCAATGCTGCAGCTCTGAAAAACCAAAACATTCACAGCTTCCGGGATTAATGCAATCTGCGCATGCGCACAATTTTGATGCATCACAATCAGACCCGTCCTTCCCGGGAGGGCGGTGTCATGGCTCTATCTATGGCGCTATCCATCGCCATCGCTAGGTGTCACTGTACCGGTATGTTCTTTCATGTGAATCGAACGCACCCCAGCGGTAAAGGAAGAAGCCTTTCTTTTATTTTACCTGTTCGTGTGTTTTGAACTACCCAGAGCATCATGTGATAAATCCCGTGATTTCCCTGCTTCATACTGGTATTTATAGCTATCAAAGCTGCCGGACCGGATCATTTTTGCCAGACTTCGCTTTAAAATGGGAGCTTTAACTCTACTCTCCCTGCTGGTTTGGATTCCGCTCCTCGGCTTCTGCGGAGCCAGATACGAACCGACCTGGGAGTCCATCGATTCCAGACCGCTGCCGGACTGGTTCGACCAGGCCAAGTTCGGGATCTTCATTCACTGGGGGGTGTTTTCTGTGCCAAGCTTCGGCAGCGAGTGGTTCTGGTGAGCTCTTCTTTTAACTTGTTTAACTTTATAGAGTCAGGAAGTCCTGCTTGTGTTAAAAGGCTGAACTGATCTGTCAGCATGGGCGTAGAGGAAGCCCTCAGGGTGTGGGGGCCATGCCCCGCGGAGCTGTCACCTGGAAGCCTTTAGGGCAGATTAGACTTCTGCAGCCGCACACATCAAATGCTGCTTGGGTCTGATTGGGAACCAGTTTTGCTGCTATGCTTCTGCACTGTCGGTCTGGAATTTCTAGAGACGCAGAGCAGTTTCCCAACAAAGCGCAGGGGGGAGCCTATTGGAGAACTCACAAGAACTTCAGCGGATGGTCATGAAAACTTATTCGGAGGCGCCTGCGGGAGTGTTTATCTTCCAAAACAACATGTCTGAGGCATCGTAATAGTGTTTGTATTTCCGAACCTCCTCGATCAACCTTTCGTCGTGGTTATCCATTGTTGTTATTACTCCTCATTTTTTTAAAATGGCGCGCCCCGGCACAAGATTCGAGAAGGACGATCACACAGACAGCCGGAATTGCATACCAAGGACCAATCACAGCTGCTTGTCTGCGCACTTCCGCTTGAGGTCTGCGCGGGTGTGCGACTGTCCGACGTCTGGTTAGCGATTTTTTTGAGGTACGCAATGTTGGTTACAGAGCCTCTGTAGCGTGGTCGCAGAGACAGATTTGACGGTTGCAGAGGCTATGCATCAGAAGCATAAATTGACCATTAACGTACCGAGACTTAAGGGTTGGATATACTCCCCACAGCAGTGTGTCGCAGAGAGCTTGTCGCAGATATCTTTGATTTATGCCCAATATTGAAGCGTGGTCTGCGTTATGCTATTCCACACCACAATGCAACACTGACAATCGTGAAGTAGCTGTAGGTCTATTAAAGGCCGAGGCGGTGAGAAGGTGGGGGCAAGTTTGTCTGACAACGGAGGGACATGAGGGCGAAAAAAGCGGGGATCCAGGTGGAAAAAGTGTCCCAGCGTTCTCGCTCACCTCGCTCTTCTAGCTGCTCCATCTTCACAAGTCGTTTTCCACAATGGCGGGCATACAAACAACACAAGCTGGTAAGGAACCAAATAGGAAATATGCAAAGAGTAGAGCGGATGTAGATTTGACCAATCAGAGGCCTCCTGTCTGCGGTCACCTACGATTTTAGTGAGATGCTGCAGAGTGTCTGCGGTAGGGGCGGGGCCACCTTTGCGTTCACTGCGACACACACGCAGACGACCTGGTTTATGAGTATAAAACTGCCTTTAACATGCCTAGATTTAAGACTCCTTTCATAGCTTAAAATACAAAATATTTAATATAACCACTGGGCAGAAAATCCATTTTTGCAAAAATTTGAAACTTTATCAAACTATCGTCTTCCCTGTAACAGTTCTATATCGTCCTTTTTGTTCCGTTTTATCCTTTTTATGTTTTATCGTTACGTTCACTCTGCATGCGATTAAAGCAGCAGAAGCAGCTGGTTTACATGCAAAGCCAATGGTTGACATACATCAAGCCACATCGAAAGGTCCTGCAGCGCGTCTGAGGTGTGGGACGCGCTTCACAAGAAGCAGCTGCTGGAGTTGGAAAAAATTAATGTATGCCGCTCGACGCGCCACATCAACCAGTCAGAGAAGCTGAACTGGGAGTTGGGAGGGAGACAGACAGCGCTGCTGATGCAGAGCGCTATGATCACCCCCCTGAGACTGTTTATTAACTCCCTAAATTAACTTAAAATGGTGAAACCAGTAAAATATGTTCGCTTCTATCATCCTGGTGGTAGCAGTTTGTACCACATACCTGAAAACACTAACATCTACTTCGCAGGTAGTCGATTGATCATTTCTTAAATTAGCTATAAGCTACACTTTGGAACGCTGGAATGAGTTTTATTTGATGCAACATGGTGAGCCAAAACCGCTTTGTTTGAAGTCAGAATACTCCATTTTTGATAAAGTTTTTGACGGATTAAAGGGAATCTTTGAATTCAGCTATCTCTCTTTTATTCCATTTGCTAAAACTGAAATTATTTATTGAATATTTAATTGCAAAACATACATTTCAGAAAAACTGTCTTTTGGGAACACAATCTTTCCAAACAAAGTCGAAGAAAAGTGCTGATTGTAATAAAATGAGCCTCATGTGTCACAGTGACTCCCTTCCTGTGTTGCACCAACAATCAAAACCTCCAACTCTTCATTTTTGATTTTGATCATATTAATTAAGATATAATTCACTAGTTTATAAGCATGAGTGGAAAAAATAATGCACCAAAAGAAAGTTTGATAAACATAGCTGAGGAGAAGTTCAACTTCATTCACTTCTGCAGTTTGGTTTCGTCCTGATATCCTGCTTCCTGAGCCAATCACATGAGGCCTTATCATATGACACGCTCTGTCTCTGGCATTCTACTGACTGTGTCTGCAATGCAGGTGATGAAGAATATGAACCCTGAAAAGTTTTAATTAGCAGATTCAAAAAATCATTTTCACCCTGCTTTTCATCTAAAGTATGAGTAAACAAGTTAGATATAAACTTTG